TATATATATATATATATATATATTTTAAATAACAAGTATAATTTTGAAAATAGATTTTTTATTTATTTTTCATATAAATATAAAATAATCATGTGGTCACCGATCTCTAATCAGCTTGAATTTTTACATGATTAATCTGTTTGATTATTTTTACAAATTAAATGATTTGGATCAGTAAGATGAACTCAAGAGTAAGCTCACATAACTGGGTAACGAGACCTCCAATCTAATTTTGGATTGAAGACAATTTGTGTGGATTATTATAATTTAATTCTTATGACTCGTTTGGCAACATCACTTTTTAGTTTAAAAGTCAAAAAGTCACAAAAAAATCAAAAAACCAACAACTTATACCAAAAAGTCAAAGATTTCATTTTCTTTCTACTTTTTGCATATCTTTTCGTAAAAAATAAAAAAATATTCCAAACATACTAGTTTTTTTTACTTCATATTTTAGTAAAAAAGCTAAAAAAATTACTAAAAAAGTATATTTCCAAATGAGACCTTAATGTATAAAAAATGTTTCAATTTGATCCCAACCTAATTATGTCCCCCTCTATTTGAACTAGGAGCAAACCGGGAAAATCATAAATATACACCATCAAAATGCAAAAAATCCAACATCGTTAGGGGGTAAATAATTTGAAATTACACATCCAATATGTTTAATACAGAATTAACATATATAGATGTTGAATGTTGATAAACATTTTTCTCTAAAGATGTCAAATTCATTTTGTCGTGTTTTAATGATATGTATTTATAATTTTCACATTTTACTCTTCATTTATATAGAGAGATGGAATTATGTTTGGATCAAATTGAAATATTTTTCATACATGAGGAATTAAATTCAAATAAGTTAAATATTGGGAACAAAATGATGAATTTCGCATCTATTGAAATTTTTTTAATTGCATTTACACATTTATCCATAAATTCAATGAGTTCAGATCATCTGCTGTGGTCTCATGCCATGCTTCCTGCGGTGGTTACAAAACGACGTCGTTTTGTAAGTTGTTTTTTTTTTTTTTTTTTTTTTTTGTCTTTGTCTTCCCCCCTTTTCTTTCTCTCATTTGTTGAGAACCCTAAACCATAAAACGAGAGAGGTGAACAGAGACAGGTTGAGGACGACGGCAATTCTATGGCGGCGAAGCGAGGAGCTTGAAATGTAGTTGCGTGAGATCCCTCATGCAACTCAATCTTCATCACCCACAAAGCAATGTTTATCATGTTCACAGTTTTGTAATCCAATGAATGGCATGATCTATGGTAAATATGATGATGACCCATCAAGTCATTATAATTATTTATGTCTCTCTCATGTTAGTCAGTTGTCTCTTCAATCTGATTGTTCATCTTCAGTGGTTCTAGAAACCCATTAACCCAGAATTTCAAAGCAAATGACCAAGTTAATTAATGAAACAAAAATGTTTGTTGTGGAAACATTCTCAATCTCATTTTTCTTTTCCAAGTGAGAAGGAAGGTGAGTACATCACTTAAATTAATGAAACAAAAAAAAAAAAAAATTGAAAAAAAATTCAACTGAATAACAAACAACAAATCTGATTCCACAAATCAAATCATATATATATATATATAATGAGAATGAAGACCAGACCTCATCGCCTCTCCAGACCTCGTCGTCGTCGCCTCCCCCTCTCTGTCTGTCTCCTGCCACTGCCTCTCGCCTCACCGCTGCCTCTCCTCTCAATATGTTTAATACAGAATTAACATATATAGATGTTGAATGTTGATAAACATTTTTCTCTAAAGATGTCAAATTCATTTTGTCGTGTTTTAATGATATGTATTTATAATTTTCACATTTTACTCTTCATTTATATAGAGAGATGGAATTATGTTTGGATCAAATTGAAATATTTTTCATACATGAGGAATTAAATTCAAACAAGTTAAATATTGGGAACAAAATGATGAATTTCGCATCTATTGAAATTTTTTTAATTGCGTTTACACATTTATCCCTAAATTCAATGGCTTATATGGGCAAAGTTAGGTTGAGGGTCAAATCAAATTATGTTTTATACATTTGAAAGAATAAAGATTGTGACCCCCTTTCCTCCACCCCCTTTTGACTCCCTTTCTTTTTTGATTGGTCACTTTTTCTTCTTCTTTTTCTTTTTTTTTTCTCCTCCTCCAATCACCACCCGCCACGTGTGTGTGGGGGTGGTGGGGGTTGAAATTTGAGGGGGTCTAAATCACTGCTGTATAAATTAATGCTACATTTGTTTAAATAGAAGAAAAAGATTATTTTTCTTTTCATATCTTCTAACATTTGGTATAATAGAAAATAAAATTCAACAAAAAATAAGATTATTTGGACAACAAATATTTTTTTTATTTTTGAAAGGCGCAAAATGTTTTATGAACTAAAATCTTACTATTATCATCACATGACCATTGTCACTATCACTTCTACCACCACACCACCATCACTATGACTATCATCGCTATTATTGCCGCTACTATGGGGTGTTTTGGGAAAATGGTTAAGAGATGTTTTTCAGTTTTTTGACTTTTTTGCGAGAGAGAGAAATGGGTTAAAAGCTGAGAAATGACTTTTAACTCACTTTCCAATATAGGCCTATGAGAGGGTAATTTATGAGAATAGTCTTTACCAAGCTAAGTCTATTTTTCCTTAGACATTGGGCCAAACTACGGGCCAGAGTAAATGTTTATGTAACACGGTCTTGGATCATCTAGGCATCAGGTTGGTTATAGATAGGCTGCCAGATGCCTGACCTAGCTATCCCAGGCTAAAATCCAGTGGAGAACCAAGGTGTTAGTAAAATGTAGGACCGAGTTAGGGGTAGCTCTGCAAGGCACCATCTCGTGGCTAGGACTACCACGGTGCTGCTTTAGTCTAAGCTCGGTTAGGTGTGGTACTAGCCGAGGTAAGGGTTGCAACCATCTTACTTGGATGGCAGTGAGCATGATGTTATCAGGATAGACATTATCCTTGGGAAAGTGATTCCTAGGAGAACTCTACTAAAGGGAGTTGGAGTCCTTCTAAGATTGTGCCAGGCAGAATCTACAAAAGCTCATGGCAGGACCTAGGGTTGTTCACGGGTCGGGTCGAGGTCGGGTTGGATACATACCCGTTAGCCGACTGGATCAGTTCAGATTGACATTCAGCCTGATCGTTTTCGAACCAATCACTTGTTGAAATCGACTGAATTGATATTCGGGTTGTCGGATTAGATGTGGGCGGTTTGGGCGGATTAGGCTAATGACATATTGGGCCCCTTTTTTTTTTAATCATTTTTTATCCAAAATTAAGGAAATAAAATTGCTTATCAGAACATAAACATATCTCATAATATTTTTCAAACCCTCAATCAAAATATAAACAAATCAAAATATTTTTATAAACATTAAATGAAAACATAACAATCAGAAATAAAAAATCGGAAAATCAAAACAAGAAAATGAAAAATACTTAGAAATCCCGAAATCAACATGATTAGAGAAATAAAATATGAAGTATTAACCAACAAAAAGCTACAAATTATAAATCAAAACATCAAAAATAAAAATCTCAAAATGAATAAAGAGAGACACCTAAATCTCTGGAGAATAATCCTCTTTTAGGGTTGAAGATCTTGATTCGCACATCTCAAAGAAAGTCACTGATTGAACTTCAAATACAGACAAACAAGGAGAAGCTTTGATTTGTTACGTGAGAGAGAGCAAAAGAGAAACAGAGAGGATTGCTTTGCTTTTTTCTGATTCGGTACATTCTCTCTCTCTTTATGTATTTGTTTTGCCTTTTCAATTTTCCTCCTTGAAAAATGATGGAGCTAATTCGGTGCACTCCCTCTCTCTATATTTGTTTTGTCTTTTTAATTTTTCTCCATGAAAAATGATGGAGCCTATTCAGTTTTTCTTTTTGAAAAAAGAGTTAACGTAAGTGGCTTTGTGAAGTGTGAGAGATAGAAATAGGGATTCAGACTTTGTAAAGTATGTGGAAAACATACCTTGTAAGCTGTGAAGTATATATGACAAGCTTAGTGGGTGGGTGGAAGCGTATATGAAAAGCTTGGTATTTGTCAGTCGAGTCGGTTTTGACAGATGAAAAAATACAAAAATCACTATTGACCATGAATCCGAAAAAATCAAATAAAATAGACCGCATCCGACCATCTACGTTGTCTTGCCCGTCCGTTGCGTGCCGGTCTGATCGGTTTGGACGGGTAAGGCGGGTGCACGGTTTCCACGAACAGCCCTAGCAGGACCCATGTAGAAGTATCATAATTCTTACTTTCAAATACACAGAGCTTTTGTGTTTATTTGTCTATTTTGCTGACTTAGGTATTAGAGAAGTTTCTGGCACACACCCGCCAGCTAATTCACGTTTGTATTTTCAGGTAGTAAAGAGACGTCGTTTGAAAAAATGTAAACTTGATCAATAAGATTATACGAGAAAATTATTTCGTACTTGTACAGCCTATATCCTATCACCACACCTCTACTTATACCTTCATCCTACCACCACTAACAAATATATTAAAAATATTTTTTGTAAAAAAAATAGATAGAGCATAAATTAATACAATTTAAGCATCAGAGATTAAAGACAAACAACATACTATTGTTTTAGAAGCTAAGAAGATAATTTAAAATATATAAAAAATCAAAATATAATTCAATTTTAGAAAATCAAACAAAAACAGTAGTTGCGAGAGTTAGCCTGAACTAAAGCCCAATCTCTGTCCTCGAACCACCGAATCTCAAGTGTTTACGTGGCGCCCACATATTCTTCTTTCGGAACACGAGGAAACCCCAAAATAAACATCGTTATCTCTCTCTCTCTCTCCTCATTTTCTCTCTATATAACACATATACAGTTGAGTCGGTTTTCACTCGGTCAATTGGCAAACCCTTTGATTCAGGAAAATTATTTTTATTTTTTTTAATTTCTATTACTCGACTTTCTAAAAACAATAATAACATTTCTAAATACTATAAAAAAAAATAAAAAGGATTTTTTTTTTTTGGGTAACTGTATTTAATCATAGATATGTGTCTGAGTTGAAAAAACAAAACCCTAAAAAGGGTTCTCTGTAAGAACCAATTCGCCGCCGGGTTGATCAGGACCATCAACTTCCCCCAATTTCTATTTGATCTCACAACTCTTCACCACCTCCTACTCTTCCTCAGCTCCAACTGTTGTTTTTTGTTTTTGTTTTTGTTTTCTGGCAACACTTTTTAGTCCTGGCGGTGCTATCTTGGTATTCAATGTTGGAAAGTAAGAGAAAACGTGTTTGTTTTTCTTTATTTTTATGATGATTCAGTGTTAATAATCGAATCTTTATTGCTTGTTTGTGCTCGATTGTCCAGTTTTTTGATCGTTTGACGCAACTGAATGAGCTGTTTTGGAGTTTTGGTGATCAAAGATTGGATTTTTATGAGTTCATATAGGGGATTCTAAGGGGGTTAATTTTGTGGGTTTTGAGTGTTTTAGATTGTGAAGTTTGATTTTTGCAACCTTTTAGGGTTTTAGGGTTTGTTGGGTGTGAATATGTTGTCTGATTTGGGTAGGATGCCGGTGCTTGGCGGTAACGAAGGATCGTTTGGAGATGAATTGGAGAATGAAATCAGCTTGTTGCTCCGCGAGCAGCGGCGACAAGACGTTGATGATCGCGAAAAGGAGCTAAATTTGTTTAGAAGTGGGTCAGCTCCTCCCACTGTTGAGGGTTCACTGAGTGCAGTTGGTGGTTTGTTCAATCATAGTGGTGGTGGCGGTGGTGATGGTGGCTTTTCAGGGTTTGCCAACAATAAGAGTGGTAATGGCTTTATGTCTGAGGAAGAGCTTAGGTCTGATCCGGCTTATTTGTCTTATTATTATTCGAATGTGAATTTAAACCCTAGGCTGCCACCTCCTTTGATGTCTAAAGAGGACTGGCGGTTTGCACAGAGGTTGCAAGGAGGGAGTTCGGCCTCAGGTGGGATTGGAGATAGAAGGAAAGTGAATAGGAATGATAGTGGTGGTGGGGGGAGATCACTGTTTTCTATGCCTCCAGGGTTTGGTTCGAAGAAAGGAGAGAGTGAGACTGATTCAGAGAAAGTCCATGGTTCGGGAGAGTGGGGTGGTGATGGACTGATTGGCTTGCCTGGTTTAGGGCTTGGTGGGAAACAGAAGAGCCTTGCTGAAATATTTCAGGTGATTTTCTCTCTTTTATGCTTTCTTACATGCTTGTATTTTTATGTCATGTGCTTAACTCCAACTGTTACTGGTATATTAGGTTATCTGTTCTTCAGTTGATAATATTCCTTTCGATTGTTGAATGTCATTCATTGCTTCCCTTCATCGTTGACAGTTGATACGGATTGTATTGTATCTTTTGAGCAAATTGAGCGATCTTGTTGAAACTCCAGACATATTTTACACGTCATGTAAAGATGAACTGTGTATTTATTTACTCTTTTGGCTGGTACAGTTAATGTGTTTTTTGTTGTTAACTGCTAATCTGCATCTTTTTGGGTTGATGACTTGATTACATAGTAATTTTTGCTTTATGGGTAGCATACTGTTGGAAATATGAAAGATCCAAGGATCTTTAGTTGACAAAAGGTCATGCCGCAGTCTGCAGTAGTGTTGTACTGTGTCATGTATGTTATCCTTATTATCTTTCACACAGCTTGTTCCAAGCTTGGAGAATGAAGCGGGGTTGCGGAGGAGATGTAGCATCCTGGAAACTTAATTAAAATCTTATGAGCTTGGATCCTCGGTATTCTCTAATTGGGTTTTGTCTTTGACAACTGGAGAAGACTGATCCATGTTGTGGACCCCAAATAATTTGGATTTGTTCAATAAGTCCATCCTATTAGATGCTGGTCATTTAAAATCAAAATGCAAAAAAAATATGTCTGTTAGCCTACTTAGCTCATTTCATGTTAGTTAGTTAGTTTGTTTTATTCTTCTGGATTTTGGAGCCTGCAACTAACACTAACGTTTGTGCAGGATGATTTAGGGCGTGCAAGTCCTGCCTCTAGGAATCCTTCTAGGCCTGCTAGCCGTAATGCTTTTGAAAATAGTGAGACTTTAGGTTCTGCTGACGCTGACCTGGTTCATTTGCATAGCGAATTGGCATCTACGGATACTATGCAATCCAATGTGAATGTTCAGAGCTCATCTTCTGTCCAAAATGTCGGTCCACCCGCTTCATATTCTTATGCTGCTGCTTTGGGTGCTTCCTTGTCTCGTAGTACCACCCCTGATCCCCAACTCATTGCCAGGGCTCCTAGTCCTTGCCTTGCTCCTATTGGTGGAGAGAGAGTAAGTACATCTGAGAAGAGAAGTATTAATGCTTCAAACTCATTTAATAGCGTCTCAACTCCCGTGATCGAATCTGCAGATTTGGTCACTGCTTTTTCTGGCCTCAACCTTTCAAATGGTGCGATGGTTGAAGAGAACCATTTGCCACCACAGATTGAACAGGATGTTGATGATCACCAGAATTATCTCTTCAATTTGCAAAGTGGTCATGCTAATGCTAAACAGCATCCGTACATGAAAAAATCTGAATCGGGAAGTTTTCATAGGCCTTTTGGTGACCAGTCGTTGAAAGTATCATACTTGGATTCAAGCAGGAGCAATGGAGCTGGATTAGACCTTAGTAACCCGTCTCCCAATAAATCGTATGTAAAAGGGTCTCCTGCTTCTACTCTTAACAGCAAAGGAAGTTTGCCTTCTCACTATCAGCATATGGATAGTGCTAATTCATCGTACTTGAACTATGGTTTAGGTGGGTACTCCATAAATACAGTTATGCCATCCATGATGGCTTCTAATCTGCCACCTTTATATGAAAATGTTGCTGCAGCATCAGCTATGGCTGTCCATGGATTGGACTCAAGGGTTTTGGGGGGTGGTTTGCCTTCTGGATCCTTCCTAAGCCCCACAGCATCAGAATCACAGAATCTGAACAGAATTGGGAATCAGATGGCTGGGAATGCTCTTCAGGCACCACTTGTGGATCCAATGTACCTTCAGTACTTGAGGACAGGTGAGTATGCTGCAGCACAAGCTGCAGCACTTAATGATCCCTCTATGGATAGAAATTACTTGGGGGATTCATACATGGATTTACTTCAAAAAGCTTATCTGGGGTCTTTGCTATCACCTCAAAAATCACAGTATGGTGTTCCCATGGGCACGAAGTCTGGTGGTTCTAATCACCACGGTTACTATGGAACTCCTGCGTATGGTGTTGGTTTGTCGTATCCTGGAAGTCCCTTGGCTAGTCCTGTCATTCCAAACTCTCCTGGTGGACCCGGTAGTCCTATGAGGCATGGTGAACTCAATATGCAATATCCTTCTGTGATGAGAAACTTAGCTGGGGGTGTAATGGGACCTTGGCACTTGCAGGCTGGTTGTAATGTGGAAGATATCTTCGCGTCCTCTTTGCTGGAAGAGTTTAAGAGCAATAAAACTAAGTGTTTCGAACTTTCTGAAATCACAGGTCATGTTGTTGAGTTCAGGTATGTGCTTGCTTTTGAGCTTGAATGCTGTTGAACCATCCTGACTTTTAGTCTCTCTTATTAAACATCATTTGTAAACAGTGCGGATCAGTATGGGAGCCGGTTCATTCAACAGAAGCTCGAAACTGCAACAACAGAGGAGAAAAACATGGTTTTTGAGGAAATTTTTCCACAAGCACTTACATTGATGACTGATGTGTTTGGTAATTACGTGATTCAAAAGGTACAAAATGCTCACTCAGTTTCTCAGATAATGCATATAATGTGTATATGTGTATACATAGCACATGGCTGTAGCTTTACCCTCTTTAGTGGATTTTAGACAAGTGACTTTTGGTATTTAATTTCAGTTTTTTGAGCATGGATTTGTGTCCCAGAGAAGAGAACTGGCTAACAATCTTTTTGGACATGTGCTGACACTTAGCCTTCAAATGTACGGTTGTCGAGTGATCCAGAAGGTAACATCAAATTTTTAGTCAAGCTGTATTTTGAGTTGGTATATCTCGTGTATGTTTTCATATCTAGATCCCTTTCATTCATGTGTGCAACCAACAGCGGACATGTTTTCTTTTATGTTTTTGTGTTGAACAACATTTGTGTGGCCTTAGCATGGATATTGATCATACATAACGTTTTATTTAAATGTTTTACAATTTGCTACCATTGTCATTGAAATTGTAGGAAGTTTGATGTATTATTTCTTGGTAAACTGCAAGGGAACTTGATTGAACAACAGAAATTCACATATTTCCACTGCAAAGAATTTTTTATGGAAAAACAAGTACTAAGTTGGTTGGACTTTCTTTTTCTCTTTTCTGCCCTCTTGATGATGAAAATCTCTCTCTTTTGTTTTTATTTTTATTTTTTGAGAGGGGTGCTACTCACATTAGTTATCATATGATTCTATCCTATCAGTATGTGAGGCAAATTTGGTAACAGCTGGATTTTGAGTCTTTTTATCAGTTCTAAACTTACCATTGCTAATTGAGCTGACACTTACCAATTCTTGCAATCATGAACTCTGTTTTTATGTTCAGGCAATAGAAGTTGTTGATCTTGATCAAAAGATAAAAATGGTGGAAGAGCTCGATGGTCATGTCATGCGCTGTGTGCGTGATCAAAATGGGAACCATGTGATTCAGAAGTGTATTGAATGTGTTCCTGAAGAACATATCCAGTTCATTGTTTCAACATTTTTTGATCAAGTTGTGACCCTTTCAACCCATCCATATGGGTGTCGTGTGGTACAGGTATTAATCTCTTATTATGTTTTGAAATTCAGGAGAATTTTATAGGAAAGGGTGATGATCTGTGATGACATATATGTATATATATATGTATTTAATTTTTTGTTTATTTTTGGAACAGAGAATATTGGAGCACTGCGGCGATCCAAAGACCCAGAGCAAAGTGATGGATGAAATTTTAGGATCTGTTAGCTTGTTGGCACAAGATCAGTATGGCAATTATGTTGTTCAGGTTTGCAACCTTGTTTTGAAAGATTCCGATGTATAAATCATATATGCCATTGTTTCTGTAAGGGCTGTGATTCAGCTAGTCCAAAGACATTGTGTGATTGCATTTGCTTGTTTCTATGATGAACTGCTCCTGTTTCTATGCTTGGTGCAATCAGGAGTTTAGTGTTTGTTCTCTAGAGAAATTACCTGGTTGTAGAACACGCACCACTCAAGGTCCACATCTACACGTTAATTACAAAGGGCCAATGTAAACTCAAGACCCATCTTGATCCCTGCAACCAGATACACAAATTACACAAAGTACCTCTTCAACTTTTGACTTGTCACTTTCATTCAAACGATGAAGCCAGTTTCCAAATCGGGGCGTAGACGGTGCTCTGATCAACCCATTCCCTAGTTGATGACTGTGGCAGCCATTTCACCATAATTGTTGACTGAACCCAAAAATAAAATAATAAAAAAATACCAAAATTGTTGGGACTGTTGTAGGGGTTTTTGTGAGTGAGAACTCAACTAAACAAATGCTATTGGGCTCCTCTGATTGGAGATATAATTAATTGCCCGGAGAGTTTGCTTACTGTAATTTGACTTTGGACCTCCTCTAATTGCTTTCTACTGTATCCTTAACATGTGTTTTGTTCTATATGAGATACATGCCATGATGTCTTTGTGTTTGCTTCTTTTTGTTGATATTCTTCATTTACTTTACAATAGCATGTACTGGAGCATGGAAAGCCACACGAACGTTCGACGATAATCAAGGAATTAGCTGGGAAGATAGTTCAAATGAGTCAGCAGAAGTTTGCCTCCAATGTTGTGGAGAAGTGTTTATCTTTTGGCGGTCCTTCCGAACGTCAGCTCTTGGTGAATGAGATGCTTGGCTCTACTGATGAGAATGAGCCTCTTCAGGTTGGTTGTGTCCGTTTGCTTTCTATAACTAGTATGAAATTGAAATTCTTGTCTAGGACTTTCTTTCACTAACCATATTGTTATCATTTCCTCTTTTGGCTTTTGTGTATGTTGTGATTTTCAGAATTGATTTGCATTGGAGATAGGCTATAAAGTTTGCATGGAATGTGTGTCTCATATTGTGCTCCTTTTTTGTGTGTGTGTGTTTGCATATGTCATGTTATGAAGATGAGCAAGTTCCTTGTTATAGCTTTTGCTATCTGAAGCATTCAAATCAATCAATAACATGCTATTGGGTAAACATATGTTGAGAATGAAATTACCCTTTTGATTGAGCAAACATTTGTTGAGAAAATTGAAAATTATTACTATAGCTGGCAGTCTAATCAATAATAATTACTGGAGGCATTATTATTTATGGAATTGTCAAGTCTTATTAACCTTTTACTGACTCCATCAACCTTTTCTGTTTTGTGGTTAGAGAGTAGGTTGTTGATGGTGTTGCATAGTGGGTTACGGGTACAGTTGATCCAAATGTTTTGGTATTCATAGATTTTGTGGAGGATTTGATTAGTTAGTTGTGTTCAGTTCATGTGTGGGCTGCATTTTTGTATTCTTCGCATCATCTTGATGTTTTTTTATTTATTTATAAAGTTTGATTATTTATCCAAAAAAAAAAAAAATGTGTTGTCCAGCTGAAACGAGACATTATAGACTGGCTGCACCTCTTCAGTTTGATAATTTCCTTCAGAATGGCAGTTGCTGAACCTCAAGACTCTAGATATGTAAATTGTGATGCAACACGTACAAATCAGGGAAAGCAACAACTCTGCAGAGCCTTTTGATTTTGCTAATTGTAAAAACAGAGTCAACAGTTTTACAGATGTTTTCAGATTGGCCATGGCTGACAGGAAATTATTCTTTCTGAATGCGTCAGTGTGAGCATCATGATCTTGAAAGCCAAACTTTATTAGCTAAAGCAACAAAATGGTTTTCTTGCAGTTATCTAGCATAACTGTATGCCTCTTCGTTTTGTTTTTAGGATAAGATAATTGATGGATTTTAACTCTCCTGAGCTTTGCACTGTAAGTTAGAATGAATGATGATTGTGAATAGAGGATGTATCATCTCAAGATAATGTCTCCATATCTCTAAATTCAATATATCATGTTCCGTTTTATTTTTTCATTAAATATTTTTCAATTTATATAAAACACACCTAAAACAAATGTAGGGGGGGGGATGCTTCATGATTTGAAATCTGTGATCTGAATGTAATTGTGTACTCTTATGAGTTTCGTGAGGAGCTGAGTATTGTGATTTTGGGGTTCAGTCTTGTAGCCTCATGCCCTGGATGTCTTTGTTTCAGTAGTCTTTTTTTTGGGTCCATTTTTAACTATTGAAACTCGGGGAGATTAATGCAGAAATCTAGAAAATAGAAAGGCATTGATATGGTAATTGTTGATGGAGAAAAAGCACATGATAGGGTTGCAAGGGCGACAATGTGGAGGTTTTGGTGTGTACTACAAGATGCAGTTAGGATTCATATTTATGAAATATTTCTTTGATTCTTTTAGGGTAATTGATGTGTACTACTGACTAAGCACATTCAGTAGTCTTTTTTTTTTGGGTCCATTTTTAACCATTGAAATTCGGGGAGATTAATGCAGAAATCTAGAAAAAAGAAAGGCATTGATATGGTAATTGTTGATGGAGAAAAAGCACGTGATAGGGTTGCAAGGGCGTCGATGTGGAGGTTTTGGTGTGTACTACAAGATGCAGTTAGGATTCATATTTATGAAATATTTCTTTTATTCTTTTAGGCTAATTGATGTGTACTACTAACTAGCACATCACGTGAGTATAAAAAACAAACTAAATAACACATTATTTTATGCATAAAGTGTATTATGCATAGTTGACTACTCAAGCATACTTCAAAATTTTTTGTATACAGTTGGATGGTTGAGGGAAGACAATCTACTAGGGGACCCTATTGTCCTGGGGATGGGATTGGATAGTTGACTACTCAAGAATACTTCGAGATTTTCTTTATACTGTTGGATGGTTGAGGGAAGATAATCTGCTGGGGGACCTAATTGTCCCGGGGGTGGGATTGGATAGTTCCCCATGTGGGCGATTAGTAGTCTGGTCCCAACTAGCAATCTGGCCAAACAAACACAGGATTAAGGGGGATTGGGGAGCGAATTTTGAATCATGGGCAAATTAGTAGTCTGGTCCCAACTAGCAATCCCCTCTCTAAGTACTTTACAAATTTAGAAGGGTCCATATAACACATGATATATGATTGTGGTTTGATGCTTGACAGAGGATATGGTTGTGCATAGAGCCAACTGGAGAAGGAACCATGTGGCTGGCCCTAGTTGAGGATTGTTTGTGATGTGTCCAAACAGAGATTTGCATATTTATTTTTAAATCTCTTATTACTGTTATGTTTCATATCCAGGCAATGATGAAAGATCAATTTGCAAATTATGTTGTACAAAAAGTACTGGAAACTTGTGATGATCAACAGCGTGAGCTAATCCTGTCCCGAATTAAGGTTCATCTGAATGCACTGAAAAAATACACGTACGGAAAGCATATTGTCGCTCGTGTGGAGAAGCTTGTTGCAGCTGGAGGTACTTAATTTTCATCTCTCTAGTTCTGACCCATGCATCTACATTTATCGCCTTTTGCATTTAGATAAAGCTGTTTTTTCATGCTAGGTTTTTCCCTTTTCTGTTTTTTTTCCCCGTGTGCAAGTTTGAAATTTGACGCTTTTTGGTTAAAGGGAGTAAGCTGGTGTAAATGCGTGGCTCAATAACTTGATTAGCTTAACCAGTTAGAGATCAAATAAGTTACCATGGTTAAATATGCCATATTTGTTGGATTTTATTCTAAATTGAAAGCTGATAATATATAAGCATAATCTAAAAGCACCCCTCTTGTAATTTCATGGAAAATTGAAGAAAACTTATTTAGCCTCCGTTTGGGAACTGGGTTGGCTTTTTGGCTTTTTTGACTTTTTTTGTGAGAGAAGAGTGTAATGATTATGGGTTGGATGCGATGTTTTGTTTGTTGTGGCTAAAATAGCCTATTTTACCTTTTGTGGCTAAAATAGCCTCAAACCTCCTTCCCAAACGGAAGCTATTTTTACTGCATAATAGTATCTCTAACCCTTCATCAATTTTTTCATCAAATTCAAATCTAATGAAAAATGGCTAAAACTATGTTCCAACCATTTCATCAAATTTGTGTCAAACCAAGGGGGAGAATCTTTTTACCAAATCAAAGATGAACCAAATCCTTCACCAAATTTTAACAATCATATTTTTACTCAAATTTGATGAAATTTTAAAAAGATTGAAGATTAAAGATTTGAGATTGTTTTCTTTAATAAAAAAATGGTTTAAAAGAGAATTTTGGAATAAGTTTGAATTTTATTTTTTTATTTTTATTTTTTTTGATAGATGGAATAAGTTTGAAAATTTTCAAAAAGAATTGATGAAAAAGAGAGCAAGGAGTTAGTGTCCATATCCAATCTAGCTTTTAACCAAAATTTTACTCAAATTTGATGAAAAAAAGAGAGAGAATATGGATTGGAGATGCTCTTAGCTATCAACAAAAGCTACAATGAAAGGTTTGACACTAAACTTCAAAATTTATTTATTTATTTTAAAAGAAGAAAAATGAAAAAGGAGTCATAAACATTCCATTTTAGCTGCAGGAAACAGCACCGTTATCTTTTTAAAACTGTTACTGAGATGTTTGTGGACGATGGTCTTCCCAAAAACTAATCGGTTCCTCTTCTTTAGATCTTGTATTTGATGACCTTTTATATCCTGGTGTGATTCACTTTTGGTCGCAGCTAGTTCTCTAACCAATTATTTTAATTTTTTGCAGAAAGGAGAATTGCTGCTCAGTCTACACACTCGGCATATATCCCATAGGAAAGAAAGTTATTGTACGGCTAACTAAGGCTAGTTTGGCTACCTATTTCTCTTTTTTTCTTCCGCATGTTTAGTGCTGCAGCTCTTCCTATCTTTAAGAGCTGATTGGAAATAAAGTTGTTGCTTGTACTAGAAAAATGTACATTCTGTAGGTTAAGGTTTATACGTAGAATCTAGTACGCTGAGAGGCTCGGATGTCAGGTCAGGTGTTTCTAATGCCCCACTTGCAGAGGAGACAATTGACAATAGAAGTTTGTAGGGTGTAAAAATGAACACTTTTGAGGTAGTTCACATTTCAATCGTGACTTTGTAAAAATGTTGCCGTGTCTGAGTTGATGTTTAGGTGAGGCTGGAAGCCGAGTATAATGTTAGTTACTGTTTATTTGTTTTGGTGATTTTGTTCTTTCAACCATGCATATCATTCATCGTTTATGTGTTTGGGTTGTTGAATCTGGGTTCCTCCCGTTTAGTTATCAATACTATATGAAACTGGTACTTACAATTGCTTCTTGTTGAACACTAGCCAAATTGGTGTTTTTGGAGATTGTAGATGTATGTATAACCAATATATGTGTGTTAGTATGTTGTGGACTTTGCATTTGGATCTTTCTGTTGGCTATGTGAATCTGTGTCAAGAGTTTTAGGAGATGATAAAAGTTGTCCATAACTGGTAATGAGTAGTGTTTGATTCAATGAAATAGAATGATTATTTTATCAAAATATCAATTTTCAAGTATGGTAGACTAAAAAACAATAAAAATTACATTATAAATTAGAATCATTGTCGCCATTTTAAGGGAATAGTAAGTCTTTCTTATCTTGGTTTTGTCCAACAGTTAGTGAACTCTTAGCTTGGTTTTTTGTCTAAGAGCCTAAATGAAATCTGATATTCTCCTGCTGCAAGTGAACAGAGTTGTTTGAACATGATCGAGTTTGGTTTAGTAAGAATTCGTTTGAACTCAGTTCTTTAAATTTTTTTGTATTCGAGCTTGAGCATGTTAAATTTTTAATAAGTAAGTTTAAACATTCTAAAATTCGGCTCGTTAATTTTTTTGTGACTGTAGATGTATGTATAACCAATATATGTGTGTTAGTATGTTGTGGACTCTGCATTTGGATCTTTCTGTTGGCTATGTGAATCTGTGTCAAGAGTTTTAGGAGATGATAAAAGTTGTCCATAACTAGTAATGAGTAGTGTTTGATTCACTGAAATAGAATGATTATTTCATCAAAATATCAATTTTCAAGTATGGTAGACTAAAAAACAATAAAAATTACATTATAAATTAGAATCATTGTCGCCATTTTAAGGGAATAGTAAGTCTTTCTTATCTTGGTTTTGTCCAACAGTTAGTGAACTCTTGCTTTGGTTTTTTGTCTAAGAGCCTAAATGAAATCTGATATTCTCCTGCTGCAAGTGAACAGAGTTGTTTGAACATGATCGAGTTTGGTTCAGTAAGAATTCGTTTGAACTCAGTTCTTTAAATTTTTTTGTATTCGAGCTTGAGCAAAATTCGGCTCGTTAATTTTTTTGTTTAATATTTATTATTTATATATTAAATAATTTAAAAATATGTATAAAAAATAAGATATATATGTTATTTATATATTTAAAAAATATAAATGTAAATAATAGTTAACTATAGATAGTATATTTATATAATACTGGTAGTAAATATTATTTTTTTGGTAAAATATTAATTTTTTTGTTAGAATGTTTATATATGTTGTATATATAATTGTATAATTAAAATTTTAATTATAATTTTAGTTTCATAAATGAATTTATAAATTTTTTGTCTCGTTAAAACTCGTGAGCAGATTCAAACTTGAATCAAGCCTGAGTTAACTTAGCTCGAGCTCGATTTGTTAAAATTTTATTGAGTTAAAATTTTAATAAATAAGTTTAAACATATTAAAATTCAGCTCCATTTAGCTTGTTTACCGTCCTGCCTGCAAGACATGCCACAGTACTCAACCATCTCTCTCTCTCTCTCTCTCTCTCTCTCACACACACACACACACACACACCCTCCACATGAAACTCCTAAAAAAAAACGTTAAACCCATTTCGACACCCCACATGAAACTCCTAAAAAAAAAAACATTTAGAAAAGGATGAAGAAAAACCCATTTCTACATTTCAATGACAGATTCAACAACATATAGTGAGAAGCAATCCAGCTGAGTAGAACCCTTTCACATGAAACTCCTAAAAAAAAACATTTAGAAAAGGATGAAGAAAAACCCATTTCTGCACCCCACATGAAACTCCTAAAAAAAAAACATTTAGAAAAGGATGAAGAAAAACCCATTTCTGCATTTCAATGATAGATTCAACAACATATAGTGAGAAGCAATCCAGTTGAGTAGAACCCTTTCACCTTTTTAGCTAAGAGTTGCAACAAAACTCTCCTCTCTACACGACTACACAGTTGGCCAGAAACAAAACTCTCATTTCTTCATGGCTACAACCTTGACTGTACCCAAAAAAATAATAACAATGGGAATCTTACAATTGTTGTGCATTCTAAAAATCTTCATCATCGCCCTCAATTTTTTGTCCAAACCCTCTGGGTCCAGCCCTAGATCTCACCACCCCTTTTTTACCACTCTTCTTCTTCTTCTTAGCTGCCTCTTCTTTCTCAAACTTCTCTCTCTCCCTCTTCTGCAAGAAATCTGTCACTGCTATGTAGACAATCTGTGGGAAAACCCAAACCACCACACAAAATTAGTAGCAACCCATATTCCAAAATCACAAATTTTCAATCAATTTCAACGAGAATAATACTAGAGACCTAAAAATTATATCAAAAGTTTGATCAAATATCACATAAGGTGAATATAGATAATTGTGATACATTTGGTAAAATTTTTAATATAATTTTTTGGTGCATTTTTGTTTCAACAAGACAGCATTGATTTCTTTATTACATGTACCGAACAAATAAATAAAGGAAGAAAGACGAAGTAGATAAGAACTAGCAAGTTGAAGCAGCCCACAACTTAGCAGCAACCCACATTCCAAAATAAAATATTTAATCAATTTCAACAAAACAGCATCGATTTATTTATTACATTTACCCACAAGAACTAGCAAGTTGAAGCTGCCCACGAACAAAAAAATTTCAATCAATCACAACAAAACAGAACTGATTTCTTTTTTAAATGTATAAATAAAAAAAAAATTTCTTTTAAAAGAAAAAGAAAAGAAAGTGGATAAGGATAGCAAGTTGAAGAGACTGATTTTTACCCCAATAGTGAGAACGGACAGGCCAATGAAAGCTATGAACAGAAGAACAGAAATGATGGTGAATCCAGTATCATCACCACCGGAAACTATCTGCTCAGAATTCTCAACTGGGTTTGCTTCTAAAGGCAATGAATCTCCAGATACAGCTGAGATTCTCCGAATTTGGGTGGGTTTTAGAGGGATTTCGTGAGGTGAGTTGTCAAGGGGGATGATTCTTTTTGAGGAAAGAGGAGGGTGAAAGGTGAGGGGATTAAGCGCATATCGAGGTCTTGGGTTGAGAATGGAGGAGAGAAGAGGGGTAGATAGAGATGTGGTGGTTGCCATGTCTCATATACTATTTCTATCATCAGTTTCACAAGGCTGTCTCTAGTCTTGGAGATGGATATGATAAGGTGTTTTCCTAGACACTTGAATTATTTAACCCCAAAAAAATAAGGACTGGGCTTTCCTCAGTCATGGACTAACATGTTGATTATTATAGGTTTTGTTTGTGTAATTTAAATGGTTCATTTTATAAAGTTTAAGGTGTATGACATTTATATAAAAATTCTATTAATTTGATAATAATCATAATCTAATTAATATATTATATTTTTTACAAATAAAAAATGTTTTGATTCTACATTAATATAAAGTAGTATATGTACGGGGAGCAAATATTCCGGCAAGCCCGTACTCCTTCCTTCCAAGCTCCGTTTCAGTCCGATCACCTGCGAGCACAATAGCGGTGAGCTACCCGGCGGTGTGTGACCGGAAAACCCCTCCGACGATCAAGTTAGAACACACACAGGGGATAGATAGAGAGAAGGGAGAGTGTTTAGTGTTTAGTGTATGTCTCACCAAATGTTCATCTGTCCGCGTATGGGGGGCGCAGACGTGTTTATATACCTTCTGCGCCCCAAATCTACTCCCAGTGTCCTCTCAACACGTGGCACTACTATCCCATCTGTCAGCATAAACCTTGCTGAGCACCACCTAACCCAACTGCCTGCCCATTCTCCTAGGAGCTCGGCAGCCGGGCAGTACCATCTCGGCCATCGTCTGCCATGCTGCGCTTAAAGCCCAAGTACTCCAACAGCTAAGCTCAAATGAGGACCGGACTCGGCGGCATCTCGGCAAAGCCGAGCTTGGGACAACTCACGCTTGTCTGCGGTTGACCTTCCTGCCGAGCAAAAAGGTACCTCAGTCCAACCTTGCCTTTCCTAGCGCTGGACCTTTCACCTGACCGGCTTCGTAACCGCGGATCCTTGCAGCTCGGTCAATCCACGCACTGCCTTAACCGAGCAGCTTCCTTCAAGGCTGGGCCACACAACTTGGCCCAACACCTGTTCGGCCCAAATCTGTCTGGCACAACTCTGTCCGGCCCAAATCTCTCCGGCACAACTCTGTCCGGCCCAAATCTGTCCGGCCCAATTCCACGGCCCAATCCAGATCATAAATCTCCCTCTCAGTATATATATATGCTTATACTAATTTTAAATTACTTTTATAAAATATTGCACGACTTAATTTTAAGAGATTTAAATTCATTACAACTCCCACTGAAAAATTATTGGTTAAAATTTTAGCCTCCTTATTGAAGGTTATTTAAAAATTTAAACAATGGACCCATTAGGAGAGTGTGATTTTTAATTAAGAAAATCACTAGAAATTATTATAATATTTTATCTATTTTTTTATATATCTTTTTATAAGAAGTGAAGTAAAAAAATCAATTACTAAACGGGGGCCAAAATGTGATTGTCAATTAATTTATTTTCGTCCAACACAGTCTATTCCAAATATTGAATTGGATTAAAGGGTTCTTTTGGCAACATTTAAAGAAGTCAGTTTATTGACTTATTTGAGTTATATTACTTACTTTTTTACATGTATTTTTGTAATAAATAAAAAAAATCAACTTATAAGTCATATAAAAAATAATTCTAAATGAGGGGGAAATAAAACTACAGTGCGGTAGTTCAAAAAAAAATTACAAATTAGTGAGAAAATTTATACACTTTAATAATTAAATTGATATATTTTTTCATGATTTTACAATTTGTTTGGGAGAATTACTAGTTGGATAGAGAAAAATAAAATACACAAACATAGAAGGGTGCAAGTGAGACTTGCACCCTCATAATTTTTCACTTATGCCCCATCACAAAGTCACTTACATTCTAATATTTTTATAATTATTTTTTCTCAATTCCACTATTTAGTAATTCTCCCAATTTGTTTTTATTGTGACCATTGTTAAGTTATTCTCCCCTAAATGAAATAAATGATTATTCATTAATTAAGGTAGTTTTTGGCATGTGAGAAAATGTGGACTTTTTGAATAAAATAGTCAAAATACCCAATTACATCACCTTCTTTATTTTCTAACATATCTTTTTATTTAAAAAAACTAAAAAATTAACTAAAATATAATCACATTTCAAACGAGCTCTAATTTTAAAACAATGGAAGGTGAATTATATTAACAGTCACGATAATTTAAAATTTGTGTCACTTTAATTCATAATATTTTAATTGTAATACATTTGATTATAAATTTCAAATCTCATTCTAAATAAGGATAATTGAAGATATTGTTGCCCTATTTCAATAATAAAGTTGTCAATTTGATAAAACATAACCTAGTTTGACAAAAATAAATGTCAAAAAATTATTTTTGAATTTAAAAAAATTATTTCTACCACCAAAGATAAATTATATAAAAATGATAAATTTTTTACATTTTTATTTTTTTACCAAATTAATTTTTAGTATGTGTTTGAATGATGATCATGTAATTAGTGGTTGTTTTTGTTTATGTTTTTGGATGGTTATTATGTAATAGATGGTTGTATTCGTTGTTAACAGATATTTTTGAATGATTATCATGTAATGTAATGGATGGTTATTAAGGGATGGTTTGGAATGATCTAAATAAGTGCACTTTTTGACTTTTTATGAAATATGAGTTGGATTTACAAGTAGTTTGGGAAGATTGAAAAAAGACAAAAAGTCAAAAAGTCACTATCTTATTTAAGTCACATCATCTTATTTAAGTCACATCACCTCTCTAAGAGCATCAGTATCAAACTCGTTTATTTATTTATGTTAGTTATTTTATACCCAAAAATTAGAAAAGTCATCAAATCGTGGCTCCATCAAACTCGGCAAGGCGATCGGCAATTTTTATCAAACCCAAATCCCTCGCTACAAATAACCAGCGACAAAGACTCGGCTATTGGACTGAAATCGGAAACTTTTGAGCAACGGTGCAATCTCTCTCGTCCTCCTAAATTTGAAATAATCAAGACTTTAGGTAGATTTGACACAGCACTGTTGTCAATCTTCTCTCTGTAAAAGGTTGCTTTTCTTCTTCGTTTACGTGTCTCTTGAATCTCCCAAAGCTCACTAATCACTGAAACTCCCTGTTTCAACCTGTCAATAGGCTTTCCAATTCTGGGTAATTCTCATACAAAAATCTCAATTAATTTTTGTATTGATTGATATATATATATATATATATATATATGTATATGTGTATGCATATGCATATGTAAATGTGATAATTGATTAGTTTTTGTTTTAACTATTTGCTTCAAAATATGATGGTTTGAATTTGATTGGGTAATGTTTCAATTCTGCAAATTGGGTTGTTGATATTTGAAAGTTCTGATCTTTGTGGTTTAAGAAGGTAAAAGAATAGGGTTTTGAAATAGCTATATTATTTTGTTATTATAATGGAATCAGAAATCTAATATTATCAGGGGTTATTCTTGGAATCCACCGCTTGTATTTAAATTGTTGGGTAAATCCAGAGGTTACGCTATCCTCTATGTCTTCTCCTTGATTTGCATCCTCCATTGAATAAGATTCCCATGCACATGTAGAAACTTCAGTTTCATTTTCATGATGTAAACATTCTACGTCTAGTTGAGAGGGCTTACAAAGATTAGTGCCACGTAACTCCTTAGCCTCTAGTTGGTAATGGTTATCATTATATGGAGAATGCAAACTCTCTTGATCATAGATGATTGTCGTTTTGCTCATAAAAACATCATCATTATAAGTTGTCTGCACAGGTGAATGTAATTTTTCACAAGGAGATGCAGAAATATCAGTATATCTGGAATCATAAGGCAGTGAGGGGGAACAATCTTGCTCTTGCTCATTATCTACGTCAAGTTCATTACCTTTTGCTAAGTTTTCATACATATAATCTTCAGCGTTTTCTTTGTGATTTAGCACAAAATTTATGTCAAATTCTTCAACAAAAGAAGGGCTCTGTTCCTTCTGAAAATGACTCATTCCTTTAGTCCTTTCTCAGGGGAACTGACATACATCCCTGCAATAATCAAAATGATAAAGAAACAAATTAAGAACATATCCTTGGAACAAAAGCTATGAATAGGGTAGAACACAAATAAACCCTCTACACTGCCATAATTCAATCCCCAGAAATCAATCAAATCTAAAACAGAATACTACATTCCTCATTAGATCATATGCATGCATTGAAGGAAATATATATATACATATAAGGCTTATATACTTGACCAATGAGTATATCTCAGTGCATTTGTAATCACTATCACAATAATATAGTTTGCCTAAACAACCACTATTCCCTCAAAACTAAGTTTGTTGAATGCTTCAACTTTGTATAATAAGTATATCACAACTAAGTTTGTTGAATGCTTCAACTTTGTACAATTCCTCGTAATCACAGAGCCTTAAAAGTGCCTACATATATACTTATATTAAATTCGCTTAAATATGTCTATGCAATCATGTAATCTATAATATTCTTGCATTGATATGAAAAAGGCAAAACAGTGCTGGTAAGTTCGACTACCAAAATTCTTTTTGTCTCAAAATTTTTGGAAAGAGTACAGAATAGAATGGGATGAAGAATGTAGGAGTGGCTTGGGATTTTGCAGCACTCTCAAATTTATGAAAATCAGAAATGGAAAACTTTTGTGACTAATCTGCACTAGAGTAGGAGCACTAATTTGCACAAAATACATTTTAAGCTGTCTCTCACACACATAGACTCGTACAGAATTCAACAATCTCTGACACAACTATCAGCTTTGAATGGTTAAATAATATTTCAATTCAAATTGTTAATTTGCTTGATGATGATGTTGAAATTTTTTCCCTTCCCTCATGAGACTTAGGATCGCAGATTAGCTTTTTTCACTTCTTCCAATGTACATTGTAAATTGAATCATCATTCACCATTGCAATGGAATGATCATTTCATAGGATGGATTCTCAGACACCAACGGATGCGTACTTCACCAATCTATTACAAGGGGGATCCAACCTTTTAGGTGAATTTATGATGAAATCTCCAAATCAAATGGGTCAATGTTCAAGCCAACATGGTGAAGTGGCTGGGCAAGAGTCTCCATTGTCACCCCAAATAGAATCCACCACAAAGAAATCACAACATGGTGGCAACTTCAGTATAGAAGAAGACAATCTCCTTGTATCGGCATGGCTCAATACAAGTTTGGATGCAATACACGAAAATGAGCAAAAGCACAAGACATATTGGAACAGAGTTTGGGAGTATTTCCACAAGTACAAGACTTTTACTTCTGAACGTAATCAGAATTCTTTAATGAATCGGTGGTCAACTATTCAACTTGGAACCAATAAGTTTTGTGGGTTCTTTGCTCAAATTGAATCAATGCATCAAAGTGGAGTAAATGAGCAAGACAAGGTATACATTGTGTACACACCGTTAAATTAGATATAATTGTCATTTTGTTTGAAGATGCTAATTAGTGTTTATTCAATTAATTTTTCAGATTGGGAAGGCCAAACTTATGTATCAGGAATTCCAAAAAGCATCATTTCCTTTTGAACATTGTTGGAATGTGTTGAGGTACCAACCAAAATGGTTAGAGGAATGTGAGAAGAAAAAACCGAAAAAAAAAAAAACATCAACAACATCTTCTCCTTTTGCTCCAGAGGCGATAAATCGAGCAAAGGATAATGTCTCACATGATGCTTATGTAGACTTGGAGAGGCCACTAGGTAGGAAGGCTGAAAAAGAGCAACGAAAGAGTAAAGATTCAGCTGGTTCAAATTATGCAGGGATATTGAATGGGATAATGGAAGACAAAAAGAAAGCAAATGACAAGAAAATGGAAATCCTTGAGAAAGCGTGTCTTCAAGAGCAAGAGCAGAATCGTATTAACCAAGAGCTTGAGCAAGAGAGAATTCGAATTATGAAAGAGGAAATCCAAGAGCGATTTCGTATTAAACAAGAAAAGATTCGAGCAGAACAATTGAAAGAAGAGGAGAGAATTATAATGATGGATACTAATGGTTTGTCTCCAATGCAACAACAATATTATCTTCACCGCCAAATGGAAATTCTTGAAAGTCAAAGGAGTACTAAATAGCTAGTTTTTATTGGAATATATTTTTCTATGTAAACATATCATGTTTTTGTTGAACAATGCCATGGTTCAGTGCACTTTTTTTGTTAAGTATTGATTTACATTGCTATGAAAATGAATAAATGACTGCTTAGGGGCATCTATATGCTGGATTATATAAGTATCTTCGTGTACCTAGGTTTATTTTTGGTGATTATTTGTTCATTGGTTAAGTATCTTGCTCTGCTGCAGATTCTGTTTCATCTTCCTCTACTGTCTATTTGTTCTGCTACTGGATAGATTCTGTTGAACAATGTTTATAACAGATCAATGCTGGACAGATTCTGTTTCATCTTCATCTACTATTTCATCTTCCTCTACTGTCTATTTGTTATGCATTAAGAAGACAGATTTTGTTAAACAATGTTGTTGGTGAGTTGGCTGCTGTTCTTGGTAGTCGGGGACTATTTGTCCATGATTTGTAATCAAATGTAATCCTATCAGGTGTTCCTCTTTTTGCAATAGAAATTCTAGAAAAGACTGTTTAATACATCCATCATAGTTTCTTTGGTTAGCTTGATGAGATCTTTATTAACTAACCATGATGTATTTGACTAATTTATGTTTGACTTGCAAGAAAATTGTCATTTGACTTTTGTTTGGATATGATAAATTGAAGGTGCTTTCTGCTTCTTACATTTATTTGTCTATCACAGTCAATAACATAGAATTGACAATCTGTTAAAAAAAAAAACAACATAGAATTGACAACAATCTTAACTGCTGTCATCAAGTTTAGGATATAATGAGTGAACTATACAGAGAAGGAGAATTGATGGTTTGATTTTAAAATCTTCTTTCCTTGCCTTTGGAATGTATGTTGTTGTCAATAGAAACCCATCTCTGTTTGGAAGCCTCAACTCCCTAGAGTACATTGGTGGCTGTTTTACTTTATATTTTGCTATGGCTGCTGTTCATCTGGTTGCTGTGGCACTCTGGTTGTTGGTGGCTGCTATTGGTTGTTGGTTGAGGTGTTTTGAGATGGCAGCATATAGATTATTTGGTAGGCTATGGCTGCTGTTCTGTGGCATTCTGGTTGTTCTGCTGTTGCACTCTGTTTTGTTGGTTGGGAGCATGGTCACAACAGCAGCTGGGAGCATACATCAGCTGCAGCTGTTGGTGTGAGGGTGTTACCTGCAGCTGGGAGTATACATCAGCTGCAGCTGCTGGTGTGAGGGTGTTACCTGCTGGCAGCATACCTTGGGTGTGGTTAGATGCTTCAATTCTTGGTTAATGTTTTTTTTCTACTGAATTTATTGCGTAAAAAAATTATTGATTGACATATTTATCTGTCTATTTTGTTTTCTGGCAGTTGGGTGGCTGTATTTGATTTTTACATGGAGCCATGTGATGAGAGGTCATTGGTTGACAGTCCTTTGGTTTTCATATATAATTTCTTTTTCTTTTTCTTTTTTCTTTCAGCAAATATCAGAAACTTATAGAAAACTATTATATTGTTTGGAGATTTTGAGTAATTGATCACCTAATTGATATCTTTAATGACTGAAAGGCTTAAAAAAGCAGAAGAATTGAAGTCCTGCATTACATTTGGCTTCCAAGCTTTGCACCGACTGTTCCTCTAAAACATTTTCTGATGCTTCATGGAAGTTTGTAATATTGTATAACTTTTTGAGTTACTTATTTGTTAGTATTTATTTTGATGACACATAAATTCGTTCTAATGGAATGACGTATCAGTATGAGCACTTTGTGTTTATTAGATTTAGCAGATGGTGTTGTTGCTAACAACTGAATGATGACTATGATGATGAGTCAAGCCTATAGGGACCACTGGCTGATTGATTGTTTTTACCATTTGTAGCTGCTTCGAGAGTTTTTAGCTATTAAATAATTTTGTACAGGACTCATCTTATGCATTATATTAAATTTACACCCATTGTATTTTTATGTAATCCTTCATGAGACAGGGTTTGGTTGAAAATTTGCAATTGCAGGCATGCATCAGATCTTAAATTTGCCATTGAAGTTTATAGTCTCCTTCTGTAAAAATTCTAAAGAATACTGACAAAAAAATTATGTAATTATTAATGCTTGGAAAATTTCAAATTACAATCAAGACTAATGAGTTTTCATCATGTGACCACGAAATTTAAAATTACAAGTTGCTATGATTGACTATGTAGTTGCCACAAGTGCTCGACGAGGTCCGATTGTAGTTGACAATGAGTTTCTCTATCTCTAATGCGATGATGGCGTCGAATGAATTCCATAAGTTCAGTTGTATGGTCATGTGAAACAGATACATGGGGATCTTCATCGATTTGTTCATAGTCGTAGTCTTCTGCTTCATTAACATCTCGCTCATCCTCAACAATCATGTTATGCAGTATTATGCATGCCTTCATAATATTCTTAAGTGTTTCACGTTCCCAAGAACGTGCAGGTCCATGTACAATTGCAAATCGTGCTTGAAGAACTCCAAAAGCACGTTCTACGTCTTTCCTTGCTGACTCTTGAGCTGCAGCAAAATGCTTTCTCTTATTTCCTTGTGGAGATGGAATTGTTTTGACAAATGTTGACCACTGTGGATATATACCATCTGCTAGATAGTATCCCATTGTATAATCATTACCATTGATTGAGTAATTGACAGAAGGAGTACGCTCTTCAGCAAGCTTGGTAAATATAGAAGATCGTTCTAACACGTTGATGTCATTATGAGACCCCGGTAACCCAAAGAATGCATGCCATATCCAAAGATCATTTGATGCTACTGCTTCTAAAATAATTGTAGGTTCATGAATATGACCAGAATACATACCTTTCCATGCAGTTGGACAATTCTTCCATTTCCAATGCATACAATCAATGCTCCCCAACATCCTAGGGAATCCACGACTTTGGCCAATTGTTAGCAATCTAGCAATGTCATTTTCGTTTGGTGATCTCAAATACTCATCAGAAAAAATTGTAACCACTGCTTTAACAAATTTTTTTAAACTTTTTATTGCAGTGCTTTCTCCAATCCTTACATATTCATCCATAAAATCAGCCGCTACTCCATAAGCGAGCATTCTAAGTGCAGCAGTCATCTTTTGATAGGAGGACAAACCAAGGACTCGAGCACCATTTCTTTTTTGAACAAAATATGGTTCATGAGCTTTTAGTGTAGAATGAATACGGAGAAAAAGAGAACGATTCATTCGAAACCTTCTTCGAAATACATTGGGAGGATATATTGGTGATTCAGCAAAATAGTCGAGAAAAAGCCTTTGGTGGCCTTCTAAAGTATTACGCCTAATGAATAGACGACGTTGTATAGAACCACGACGTGATCTTGATTCTTCCTCCATTTTGAGTACTGTAACTATCTCTAATTCATCATCAGAGTCCGACTCATTAAGAATCATATTGTGTACAGAATTGCGACGCATAGTGAGAAAATAAACACTTAATGTTAAAGAAAATTGGTTGAGGTGGAGGAAAATTAAAGAGGAATGACCTTATTTATATTGAAAAAATATGACCGTTAGAAAAATATCTATTTCAAAAATATAACCGTTGCAAAAATATTCATTTGAAAATATGACCGTTATAGAAGTTTCTATTTAAAAAATATAGCCGTTGCAAAAGTACCTATTTGAAAATATGACCATTATTACAAAAGTTTCAATTTAAAAAATATGACCGTTAAGTGTCCATTTGAAAAATATAATTTTTTTGAAAAAAAAATAAAAATAAATAAGGAATATTTAAATTGAATGGAGAAAGAAATGGAGAGTTTGTTGGAGCATGACAAGAAAAATAAGGTTAGCTAAAATAGAAAAGTAAGTTTTTAGCTACAATTTGACTAAACATTTAGCTACTTTGATAAAGATGCTCTAATACATCACTTCAAACCCAACCCAAACCCAACCCATATTTCATAAAAAGTCAAAAAAGTGCACTTATTTAGTCTTCCCAAACTAGACCTTAAAGTGATGTGGTAGAAATGTGATGTGATTTAAATAAGATGATGTGACTTAAATAGGATAGTGACTTTTTGACTTTTTAACTTTTTTAGGTTATGACAAACAAGGCCTAAATTTTAATGTATAATCCATATGTTTAATATATAAAATGTTTTTTATTTTAGATTTTTTGATTTAATGGATTAGTTTAATAATAATATCAAAATTGTTACCATATTTGACTTTTGAAAAAATAAAAACTAATTTAATAAAAATAAATATAAAAAAATTATTTTTACCTTTCCCAAAAATAAAATAATATATTTTTAATCTTTTTTACCAATTTAATTTTTAATTTCTTAGAAAATTTTCTGAAAATAAATTATAAAAACCAAACCAAACAGAATTATATAACCAATAAAGTTCTAACATTATTCATTAAAACCTATCATTACATTGCAAATAACATATAAGTTAATCAATAAAAAAATGTTATATGATAATTTTACTCTTAATATAGATAATTTGTAAAAAAAATATATTTTTAATTGTCTTTATTTAAAATAATATATTTAAAATTTAAAATTAAATATACTATAATTAAAAAATAAAAAATAAAAAACACACAAATTTTACCCTGAGGTTTCGGAAATTACATCCCGCCCCCTGAGGTTTGTATTTTCATAACAATTTGCCCCCTGAGGTTTATATTTCATAACAAATTACCCCCTAATTTCTTATGCAAATATAGCATTCAGGGGGGAATTCGTAATTTCTCAAACCTCAGGGGGCATCTGTAATTTAGCCAAACCTCGAGGGGTGTATATGTAATTTGCCCTAATTAAAAAATTAAAAATAAAAAACACACAAATTTTAAATTGCGAGAGTGTTAATGTAATTGGGCCAACAATAAATAAGTTTATAACAATGATTGGTGATCTGAAAAATTATGACTTAAATAATTTAAAACATTCAAAACGTTATCATTTTAAATATAAAACGAAATCATTTTGACCTATTGTACCACAAAAATTAAAGTTACCAAATATTTTCCATACGTTGTCCGTTGCTGATTGTTGTCTGGGAAAGCAGCGTATCCTACACGTCTGTACTCTGTGGAGAAACATGTTCCTGCCTTCCTTACCCTTAGATCAAGTGACCAAATTGTTTCCTCTTAAAACTTCGAACCATCCCACGTTCCACATGCAATAGGGAACACCAATGTCCTCACCGTGCCGCCACAAATCATCCACGTCTCATCTCCCAGCTGTCCACCAATATCCTCCACTCCTATTCGTCCACGTGGATACCTTTTCTAAATCTCCAGACTTTATAAAAAGAGCCCGAGAGCCAAAGGCGGTGCTAAAGAAATAATCCAACTCAAATTACATAAAAACCCTTGTACTGTGGCGAGTATGAGCTCTAATTTATACAGAAAGATATTTAGAGGATCTAAAATATCTGGCTAAGAAGTCCACGGTGGCAACTTAGATAGTACTGATCTGGAATTAGATATTGCACTTTTTCACACCTTTCCCTAAACATTTAATTACAGAAATTAATTAAATCATTTTTAATTACCGCTTTGCTCTTTTTCCCAAACCAGAAGACCCCCCTCTCTCTCCTCTGCGAATCTTCCGATGACCACTCCAGAAATATCTCCCAACAGAACTCTCTCTCTCTCTCTCTCTAACTCCACAATTCTCTCTTTTTGATCCGAAACCGAAGCAATTTTGATGACTAGAGATTGGTTGTGATTCGTGAATTTGGAGCTGTGAAGATGGGGGAAGAAGTGAGGATGAGTGAGTACGATGGCGGCGGTGGTGGCCGTGGCGGAGAAGATGACAGAGTGTTGGAGTGGGAGGTAGGGTTGCCGAGCGCCGACGATCTGACGCCGTTGTCTCAGCCGTTGATTCCTCACGAGCTGGCGTCGGCGTTCAGCATCTCGCCGGAGCCCTCCCGGAGCATGATGGAGGTGAATCGCGCCTCTCAGAACACGCTCTCGACGATCCGAGCGCAGTTTAATGCGTTGTCCGCGTCGAATAATTTCAATTTCAAGTCGTTTAACGAAGATAGGGCTAAGGAAGGATTGGCTATGGATGTGGACGAGGCGGATCTGACTAGAGACGGTTCGGAATCAAGGAAATTGAGGAGGATCGACAGCGGTGTCGAAGAGGCCGACTCGGCGTTGAGGTCGGAGAACGGAAACGATGATCCATCGGCGAGGACGCTGAAGCGGCCGCGACTTGTCTGGACGCCTCAGCTGCACAAGCGATTCGTAGACGTTGTTGCGCATTTAGGTATCAAAAACGCGGTTCCGAAGACAATTATGCAGTTGATGAATGTCGAGGGATTGACTCGGGAAAACGTAGCGAGTCACTTGCAGAAGTATCGACTCTACTTGAAGAGGATGCAGGGGTTATCGAACGAAGGTCCTTCGTCATCTGATCATCTCTTCGCTTCGACGCCGGTGCCGCAGAGCCTACATGAATCCGGGAATGGGAGCGGGAACGGGAACGGACACGTGGCGATGCCGATTCCAATGCCGTATCCGCTGCAGATGATGCATATGCCGGTGATGGGGCATGGCCATATGGGGATGCCGGCTGCTCCTGGTCCTTATCATGGGTTTGACTCGCATCCGTATAATATGGTGCAGCAGAGGGACTGGTCTGGAAATAAGTTTGGCTCTGTTGCATCTTTTCAACATGTTACTCCTAATGATAAGTAGAGAGGTGACTTTTTTCTTTTTTTTTTTTTTTTTTTGGGATCTTTTTTTTTTTTTTTTTTTTTGGGATCTATTTGAGCTTTTAGTATTTAGAATAGTTATTATTATCATCACCAAACATTGATGTTGTTCATTGTCACTTTGTGTTTGCTGGTACGAATTAATAATACAGGATTGATATTGGGCTTGGATAGTTTTGGATTTGGGAGCTTGTGAATGACAACTAGGATTTTATTTAGATTATTTGTTGGATTTAGATTAATAGATATTGGAGCCTAATATTCTATTGAAAGCTCGTATTGGCAGCGGAATTCTATATAGGTACACCAATTAAATGTGAATTGTGAACAATCGGAACTTACCTTTGATTACTTAATTAGGTGATTTGTTGAAAGAAATGCTAGCATGGTAAAAAAATGTGTTGCTTAGTGAACCATGTATGATAATTGGGTTTTGGAATTGTGAGCTTGTGAATGACAACTAGGATTTTATTTAGATTATTTGTTGGATTTAGATTAATAGATATTGGAGCCTAATGTTCTATTGAAAGCTCGTATTGGCAACTGAATTCTATGTAGGTACCCTAATTAAATGTGAATTGTGAACAATCGTAACTTACCTTTGATTACTTAATTAAGTGATTTGTTGAAAGAAATGCTAGCATGGTAAAAAAAAAATGTGTTGCTCAGTGAACCATGTATGATAATTGGGTTCTTCATGTTGGTCCACTGTATGAATTTATTAGTGGTTTTTCTTTTCCTCTTAAGACTGCTGTATATTTATGTTTCATCAGACGGGTATGAAGCTTTTAAAATAAACCTAACTTGCATTGTTTTCCAGACTACCAAGATCGCTCAAGACATCAAATGTATTCCCCTCTTTTGCAGACACCTAGCTTTTCAGTATATTATTTGGCATTTTCTTGTCTTGTGGTGCCCCCTTCGATGGCTGGGCACTAGTTTTGTAGACAAATTTACAGCGTGCATGCTGCATGATTGCACGATTGTGCACATTTGGTTTTATACAGAATCAAGCTTGCATGTTGCTGCATATGGTGGCTTCTAACGTTTGGCTGATGAGTTTTGTTTTGTATTTTCCTGAGATGTTAGTAATTTCTAACATGATTTACAAACAAAAAACTTCAAATTTGTCTGGATCTCCCTTTTTTGGACTTGTGTATGGAAATTTCCCTGATGTTCAATGCTTGTTCTGTGCGTAACAAGTTTCATGATGATTACTGAAACTCAAAATTTTGATTGAGAATTTTACAGTTCAACTGTGATAAGCTTGCATCTTTACCTGACAGTTTCATGTATTTTATTACAAGCAGTTAATGGTTATCTTTCTCTTCAACTATTATCTTTTGTATTAAAAAATAGATATTTCTATCATGATGATCTCTTCATGAGGACTGATCGATGGGGTTCACTTTATTCTAGAGCTGTTTTGCGTCAGCTGCTCCCTACTTTTTTGCTGATAGTGTGACTAAGGTTGAAGTTTGCCTAGTTTCCAGGTGAGACCCATTCTTGTGGGTTTTGCATGATTTAAGGTTCTTGTTCTTTTTTATAATTTGCTCAATTAAGGCTGCAAATGAATTGAGTCGTTCATGTACAACTTAGGCTTGGCTTGCTAACAACCACGTTCAATTTCAAAACAGCTAAGCTTGAATACCATTTTGGTGCTTGTCAGCTGAAAAGAGCCAAGCTTGAGCATGGGTGGATGTGGTTCATTGAGGCTCTATTCAACATGAGAATGTATGGGAAAAAAGTTGTACTTGCTCATATAATTATATGTAAAGTATATGATGTCTAATTCTTTAGTAGTTTCTTCCTATTTGGAAGTTGGGGTCATTTCAATTTTCGTGCATGTTTGTAGATATTATATTGCTAACCTGTCTAAATCCATCAACGAGCAACACACAGCATCTATAAAGAGTTTGGTTGCAATTGGTATGGAGTTGTTTCGTGTTTCTCTAATTGCTTTTTAGTTAATTGTGTACCTGGTGTTTGCAAAGGAACTGCGAATTACAATTATATATTTATTTTGTTGTAGATTCAAAGCATTGATAAACTTGGCACACGCTTTAACCCATGGAACTCAACTTGCTTAATTTGTCACTGGACCTGCCAGATATGAGTGGAGTTCTTAGGAAATCACTGGAGAGCAAATTGGAGTTGTATTCCAGTATCATTTGGGTATACATGAATCAGGAAAAGATACAAGCTCTCTCTCTCTCTCTCACTCTCTCTGCATATTCTTGCTATGTCAAAGTGGGAAGGAGGGTCCCGGTGTATTATGTCTGGTCTTTGCAGAGGATTGAAAGTTATGAAGTATATTCTTGACCCGTATTTTGATCAATAAATGGTGTTATCTCATGTATTAATGACTATTAAACTTCTTTTCAGCGGCAAAGCAAAATGTCGATTGAAAACTAAGCCGAAAATTAATCAGCAGTTGTTGGATCCTGGCATATTGTTTCTGGTTTACTAGATCTTGGAAAATCCTTAAAAGTACATGAAATCGACAATGAAGTTGAACTGGCAAAAAGTTGAACTGTTTTTGTTTCAGCAATGAAGCAAAAGTCGACATGCAATCTAAGCAAAAGTTGCAGCATTCCTTGCCCGCTTGGTGTTTTTGATGCTGTGATCCCCTTTCCACAGCCTCTTTCTTGTGAAAAGATTCTTATCCTTGTTTTGTGTAAATTTTTTTGCTGCATTTACTTCTTTCGCCCCTTGAAAATTTGCTCCTCTGTATGGGTCAGGGGTGAGCAGCGGATATACCAATCCGTCAAAACTAACCGAACAAAACCGATCCGTCGCATTTTAGACGGATGCGTGATGACGAGCGGACGGTTGTGGATTAATTTTATCCAATTCGCCAATCTGGCGGACGGATAGCGGATTTGAGATTCCTTTAGCCGCAATCGAACTGTCAAACCACGAGCACTCCTAATAATTTATAAGATTTTGTGTTTTCAATTTGTTTAAATATTCTGTTTGTGTTTTCAATTAAAAAAGAGTTTAAATGTTCTGTTGAAATTTTTTTTTTTTAACTTTAATATCTTTTTTGAATTAAAAAAAATAAACATATTATTTATCTATATTTTTTAGTTTTTAAATCTATCTCTAAAAATAATAAATAGAAAATATGATATATGTTGGTTGGTTTTTGTTTTCAAAAACAGATATAGATGTAACAATACAGAGACATATAATCTCTACTACTGCTCTGTTCATGGTTTTAGTGGTTTGAAGTATTTTTATATTTTAAGAATCACAAATTGTAATACTTTATGTGGATGAGGCATGCAGTGATTGTAATATTTTTTTAAGTTATTGACTGTAATACTTTCTTCTTTTTTTGAAGAAGTGCACAAGTTGAATTATGTTGCCGTCAAACCGATTCACATCCATCCGTCAAATCGCCAATCTGCTCAATCCACATCCGCCTGACGGACGGATGGCGGATTGGAGGTTCCGTGACCGCAACCGACCCGCGCCCCTTCCTAGTTTGGATCTCTATTCATGATATTATTGAGAAGTTTCCAGATAAAGAACTTGGTATTTTACTCAATAGCCTCAATATTTTGAAGGGCTACATGACCTATTCACTCTTTCACATCAAGATTACAAAATTTCATAGATAGTTCTAGACGAAGGATAGCATTGTGTAGGCTGGATTACATATTAGATGGCTTCTATCCAACTGCATCCGGGATAGTTTTTCAACTTTCGTTTCTTCATCATCTTCTTCACGCTTGCAGCGTTTCCCCAACTTCCGGTATCAGCATACAAATTTGACAACAACAAACTGCTTCCAGGACTATCAGGCTCAAGTTGACGCAGTTGTTTTGCAGCTATTTCAGCAAAATTTATATTCCTATGCTGTCTACATGCCCCTAACAATGCCCCCCATACAAATACGTCAGGTTTAATGGGCATCATTTTAATCAAATTATAAGCCTCAACAAGCTTCCCTGCTTTACCAAGAAGATCCACCATGCACGCATAATGCTCTAACTTTGGTTTGATCCCAAACTTCTGTTGCATCAAGTCGAACAAACTCTGCCCTAGTTCAACCATTCCTCCGTGACTACAAGCAGTGAGAGATGCAGTGAAAGTCAAGTGATCTGGTTTCTTCTCATCATCCTCTATTATCTGGTTGAAATGCTCAATCGCTTCGTTGCAATACCCATGATTTGTGTATCCAAAAATCATGGAATTCCAAGTAACCGTGTTCTTAACAGGCATGCTATGAAACAATGTCCTTGCGTCATATAGAAAACCGCATTTTGCATACATGTCAACTAGAGCACTCCTAACAAATACATCTTGTTCGACTCCAGTCACCACCGCATACCCATGAATCTCCTTTCCATGCCTAAAATCAGCTACCGTTGCACACGCAGGGATGAGACTGCTGATTGTAGCCGAACTTGGACACAACCCGTGCCCTAACATTTGCTTGAATGTATCAAAAGCCTCGCCATTACGAAAATTCTGCACAAGCCCAGAAATGACTGAAGTCCAAGATACCACATCAGGCTCGATTCCACCAACACGCATCAGTTGAAACATTTCAGAGACCATTGAATCATCACCGGCTTGTGAAAAACCTGCAATCAATGTATTCCATGTTACCACATTGGGGTTCAATCCGATTTCTTGCATTTCTTCAACCAAACACAATGCTTCTTTAACAAACCCATGTTGAACATAGCCTGAAACCATGGCATTCAAAGCTACTACATCTTTCTCAACCATTCCATCGAACACCCGCCTTGCCTTTTCGATTTGTCTGCATTTTGAGTACATATCCAGCAATCCACTATTGACGAACACATCGGAATCAAATTTATTTCTGAGAATTACAGTATGTATCTCCTCTCCGGTCCATTGATCAGAGAGGTGTGCACAGGCTTTGAGAATGCTGGGGAGAACAAACTTGTTGGGTCTTACACCTTCTCTCTGCATATCACAGAAGACACCCATAGCCTCCTGGTGAAAGCCATGGCGGGCGTAGGCCCCGATCAGAACAATCCAACGACTGACATTTGTTTGGGGAATTATGTCGAACACTTTCCGAGCATCAGATAATTGTCTGCACTCGGTGTAGAAAGTTATGAGCTTGGAAGCGAAATGGGTCAAACGAACTAACCCATTGATGATCAGGTGAGCATGTAGTGCTCTGCCTGATTGCAATGCTCGATCACGACTGTATATTCCAATGAGCTTCGTGTACTCCTCGGAAGATGATCGAAAAGAACCAGACACCATTTCAGTATCAATGTACTCAAATTGGAGAACAATGTTCAAAACCCAGTCTTTGAGGAATTACATCAAACAGCTTACATGCCTCTATACACACATAAAAGGACAACAGGGTCATTTCGGTAAAATCCATTGAGTCCTGATCAGTAGTTTGAAACCGTTGATTTTCAGTTCTATCACGATCGATAGATTGGAATTGTCCACAGCCACAAAATGACGCCTTGATGGAGTCTTCTTCGGTTGCGATATCACTGATTATTGATACATGAACATGCACGGATTTGCTCTGTCTCTAACAGCAATCAAGCTCTTCGCTGTTTCTCATCTGGGTTCGAACCATACTCATCGTAGTCTTCTGCATCTGCATAACCAAGCAAAGTCTTCGATACCCGTTTGCAGAATTGGCTATGGAGGAGGCAATTCAAACCCTATTGTATATGCACCACCGGCTTTCTCAACAGGTTACAGAAATCACAAGAAGAGGAAGAAGAGAAGCAATCGTTGTACAGTAGTGAAATCCAGTCGCAGAGAGTCTCCGTACCAAGTGTTGGGCGTTTCTCCTGCTGCAAGTCCCAATGAAATCAAGAAAGCTTATCGGAGACTTGCTCTGAAATACCATCCTGATGTCAACAAAGAGGTATATAATAACTCTATTTGATATATAATGGTATACGTTTTACTTTCTTTGCCTTGTAGTTCAAGATAATCCACTGTTTTGAAACCGAATTTATGAATTTTTGGTGGGTATTATCTAGTTTTCAACAGTTGAAAAGTATATTTGTCTTTCATAATTTGAAGGTGCCAATTCAAATGTGTTACATGGAGTTTAGTCTGGTAATCAACAGATTTTTGCAGAATTTCGGAACTGTTGAAGGTTTTTTTTGGTTCACTTGACTGTTAAGTTGCAGGATTTGGCTTTGTTTGCTTTTACAATTCTATCTAGAACACAGAGATGACTGATGAGCCCTTTATAGGTGGATTTAATTAGTTCCAACTCTATGCTTAAACACAGAGTTTGGCACAGTTTTGTCTAATGTTCTGGCTTACATCACATAGGTAATATGTAAAATCTATAGATTTGACGTAGGTTTCATGTTACTTACTGGGATCTACCCATTCTGAAGTTGGGAGGCACATAGTTTGTGAGGGTAGCTCTGATGAACTATTTTGCCTAGCTAAATGATAAACCAATTTATGAGGGTGGGTGACTTTGATCATTGAGAGGTCATTAATCCAAACTTTAGGATAATGATGGTGCTGGAGAGGATGGCTTGAGAATACAAGTGATTGCCCTTTCATGAAGATCATCTTGATAGGCCATCATAGTGATGGCCTTTATGCTGAGGTTGTGAACTGTAGTGATGACAAGTGATATCCGCTCCTACACTTTGTTTGGATTGAGGGGTTTGGTAAGAAAAGAAACGGAGAGAATGAGATTTTTCATTGCTTGTTTGGATCATTAATAAGGTGAGAAATGGTGAGAAACACAAATTACTCCAAAATTAAGTTTTGTTTCTCACTAAAAGTGGTGAGAAACCAAAATAACTCTAAAAAAAATTATAATACCTAAATTACTTCTCCAAATACAAAACAAATAAAATAAAAAGACTCATATATCCTATTTTCATCATTATCCATCCAAACACGAAGGTGAGAAACAACAATCATTTCTTCTCTTTTCTCACCTAGATGAGAAACTCCAATCATTTCCTTTCTTTTCTCATCTCCCAATCCAAACGGAGTGCTAGTATTGTGGTGTGGATTTGAGTCACGGGAATCAACCTCTCTAGAAAAAAATGGGGACAGTTGCCTACCTACTACCTCACCCACAAGGAGGAGCCTTGTGCATTTGGTATGACCGTTTTTTAGTGATGGACTTGGTTCTACCAAATGTTCTATACACAATTATGAATTCGTTATATATGTAAATCTTCGAGTTTGACACAATTTGAGTTCTTGTCTTGTTCCTTTCCCAGATTTATGTAATTCCTCCTCAATTCTTCTTCTCTCGTAAACCAAGGAAAAGAGCTGAAATATGCACATTAACATTTGTATTTAAGTGAATCAAAGCTTTATGCTGAATGCATGAGGTTAGTTAGCTGTAGAAGCCTTTTCCACCTTTCAACTCCACCTATTGTCATATTCTATGTTAAGAATGAAGTTACTATCTTTTTTGTTGTTTTCCAGTCATTATGTTTGGTCGTTCCTTTGTCAATAACTTTATATTATTATCAATAAGAAAAGAAAAAAGAAAAAAGAAAATCTTAAGAAAGAAAGCCTAACGTAGCTCTGTAATGCTATATCCATAAGACGCCATTGCTTGAGACTAGAAAAATTGATATGCATAACAGAAGCAACTATGGTGACAAACCCTAATGCTCACAGCAAGTCACAGCCTTAAACGAATGCCTTAATGAGCAGGAGCAACCCCTTGCCTTCAGGGCCTCAGGTGGCTATTCATTGACTGCTATATTTATCATATCATCATTTTATTTCTTTGATATGTTATCCATTGTACATTATATCCTTTTACATGCATATCAAACCATTTCTAGAACTTGAATGAAATATGAAATTAATCTTGTTGGCAAAATGGAATTCTTAACGCTTCAACTACCTTTTCCTTTTCCCTTTCCAAATTCCTTCCCAAATCCCCTAACCAAATACAGCGTAAATGTGCTGAGAGTTCCATGTTTTACTATATTTTTCAGTTAATTAGCTTTCCAATTTTGCTGAATTTTTTTGTACTGTACACCTAACTTTCCACAAAAAAAGGATAAATAATTTTTTTTCCGAGGTTCACTCCTTCATAACATATATAGATGTACATTCTGTGAATAAACATATTTTCCTTTTTGGTTGTTCTGTTATTTTCTCTTTAGTTATTTATTTATTTTTTGTGATATTTTAGTCATTAGTCTTTCCTTTACTTTTGATTTAGAGTTACTCTCTCTCTCTCTCTCTCTGTGTTGCACTTTGTCACACATTCATGATGCACAAAGTGCCCCTCCTTTTGGAAATAAACTTAGAAGAAATCCCAACTGCCAAATTGCCAATTGTAGCAGCCTGGAAAGGACTGGATATTTGAATTTATACTGTAGACAGCTAAACGAGGTGAAGAATTTGGTCTCTGGAGATACAGTTAGATGAATATCAGGTGAGAGGTTTATTGTTCTGAATCTTATGAAGATTTAACACCTATGGATGATTACATCATAAGAGGAAGGGAAAACTCTTTGGTTCTGAGAACATATTCAATTTAGTTCTATTTGACAATTTATGAGATACCCCGAGAATATCAGTGGATAAAATAGAAATTGCAAAGATACTGCAATTTCTTTTGATTTTATATCATAGGGGATATCACCGTCTGGACTATTTGTTCTCCACTCTTCTATAATAAACATTTCACCAAAAGTATTATAAATCCTGCATCTTTTACTCTGTTTATTTTAGATTTAAGAATTTCAAATCTCTTGGGTTACAGGCAAATGCTCAGGAGAAATTTATGAGGATAAAGCATGCATACAATACATTGCTGAACTCTGAATCTCGAAGGAGATATGAGTCTGGAAATGGAACATCTGATTACTCATATTCAACTGCTGGAAGAAACCAAAGTAGGAACACTCAAGAAGAAGAAGAGTTCTATGGCTTCGGTAAAAAGAATTTCTGCTCAGAGAAACTTTTTGGTCTTTCTTTTTATATATTAGACATGTGTCTTTATATGTGAAGTTTTTCTACTTAAATGTTCATTGCCTCTTAGTATTCAGATTTCACGAGAGTGGTTCTTGCCTCATGTCCATGACCAAAATGAGCATCTTTCAAGTCATTGCAGTGTGAGGCTGACAAGCCTTGTACAGTTCCTCGACTGAATAGATCCCACATGCATGTCAAAAATTAGATTTTCCCACTTATCACAATATTGCTTATGGTGGTGTTTGGACCAATCTTAACTGCATATATTCCTGACTTCTTGCTAGACCCAAATTTACCATGGCGTTAGTGTTTTTGATTGAGTACTTTTCTGTGCATAAACCTCCAAACTTTCAAAGAGAAGATTTTCTGACCTCAGTCAGTATATCTTACCCTTTATAAGGAGAAAAGTTTTTCTTTATTTATCAAAAACAAAACAAAGAAAGGACAAATTTTTTTTAGTATGTTCTTATATTTAACACCTTTATGCTGCAGGTAACTTTTTGAGGGATGTTCAAATAACAATAGGTAGAATTGTTGACACCACAAGTGCTTTTAAGTTAACCCTGGATCATTTCCCAATCTTGCATAGCATCTTCATCTCTCTATGTTGCTAGTAAAAAAACCTACCTTGTTCTGCTACTGAAGTTTGGAATTGGTGTTACAGAGGACTTATTTAGAGATCTTCAAGAAGAATTTAGGAACTGGGAGGCAAGCGCTGCTTCACAAGGAAAGCCAAAGAGTTTATGGGAGGAATTGGCGGTGAGATCTAATTATTCACAACAATTTCATCAAAAATGAATACAACAGTTCTGTTAGATATAGTTTGATAAATGAAATGTGCTTGGCAGGAAATCGGGGAAGAATTTGTTGAATTCTTAGAGAAAGAGCTCAACATCACTGATGAAGAGGTCGAATCAGAAAAGAGTGAAGGCGATGCGTTTAAAAGTTATCGAACAGAGGGAAGGGGAAGTGGTAGTCAAACCAAAGCCGCAAAAGAGAGCAGCATTGAGGAAGACATTGATGAGATTGAAGCCACCCTTGCTCAATTGAAAAAGGACCTGGGTCTGTGAAGGGAAATGCACCTTTGTGTTTGTTGTTTGATAGAAGATAAAGAGAAGAAATGACAGAATTGATGGAATTTCAAATCACATTTCTCAACTCCACTTCTCCGAAGATCTCACCAATATTCATCACAGGAAGTCCATTTTTTGAATGGCGTTTTGCTTGTGCAGGAAGTGGTATTCACAGTTCATTGTAGAAAGGTCATTTTTTTCTCTTAACAGTTCTTTCAAGTTAGGAGCCATGTATTTGTGACTTTTTGAATTGGGCTGGTACATCTGTTGCCCACTTGAGGATTGTTGTTGTTTAAGAACTATCTTTTGTTCCACATAAAAAATTAAGGGCAAAATACATTTATCTCCTTCGAAGTTTAATTAAATTACAGATACTCTTAAAGTTTCGAAAATTACAGATTCCTCCTTGAAGTTTATATTTTCATAACAAATTGCCTCCTGAGATTTATATTTTTATAACAATTTGTCTCCTAATTTGTTATGCAAATAGTACCTTCAGGGGTATCTATAATTTCTCAAACTTTAGGAGTATCTGTAATTTTGTTAAATCTCAAGGGATATATGCAATTTGCCCAAAAATTTAATGATGCAAGTGCCTTGTGATATGATAATTTGTATTAAATTTTTAGCATTGTCAACCGATGACTCAATATGCTCCAACCTGTCAGACATGTTTTGCACTCTTTCTAATAAAAATGTGTCCCTTTAGTTGTTCTCACCCTTTGTTGTACCATTTGTATGAACAAAATGATTGTATCTATTACCATTTAGACCACCAAATTGCAGACAATTCGAAATTCAACGTCATTGATGAGAGCTCACCAAACTTCAGTCATCCAAAACAACAATCTTCATGTAAGGGAAAAGAAAATTCATACTTGGATCATAACAAAAAATACAAATTTGTTGGGGGATTCAATTCAAACAAAAGACTAATAAAATAATAATAAACTTCCAAAAGCATGAATCCCGGTACAAATTATAAATGTGTAGTTTCTGAACAACTCAGCTTGTGAAACATATTCTTCGGCCATCAAATGTGACGATGAATGGTACCTAGCAAAACTTTGGGACTTCGAAACAGATCTCAAAATCTCTCCCCAAATCTGAAGAAAATGGCACCAGTCCCAGAGTTGTGATCAACAGCATACTCTGCTCGTACTAGCCCTAGCTTGACCCCAACACCATATGAGGAACCTTGACCCATTCTCCTATAGACCTCTGTTGGGTTACCCTTCACATCCTTTGAACTTCCTAAATCGTTTCCGTGTTCTGCAAATGCGTAAACGTGTGTGTTTCTCACAGGTATCCGCATCTCAGCAGCAAGCTACAGGACGCATTAGAACCAGAAATTAAATACAAAAATCACCAGCACAAACGATATTTTCCTTTGATATAAAGATCAGTAGCTACAACAATGGCATGTATCACACAATTATCTACCCCATTATACTACAAAATATATGCATATGATCAATCTTCATCAAGTCTTACCTCGAGGATATTCCGGGCTGCACCTATCTCTCCCATGTTGTAACCCCTCACTGAATACGGTCCCCCAAGTGTAAAAGCATCATAACTTGGGAGGTCTCCCACACAGCCACCATAATGGCCATGAAGGACCAGCACAGGTGGTGCTGGTTTACCAGCACCTTCCTCTACTTGCTTTAGCTGGATGAATCGGGTTACTGTTAACTGGTGGCGGTTAAAAAATGGAAACTTGCTGCCGATGCCAAGGCCTTGGTCAAGCTGCAATTTGTATATAAAACATAGTATTAACAGGTGAAGTAAATATTTTTTTAAGCATGGTCACTGAACTTGAAGACAACAGAGATGTTTTCAATGAAAAACAAATGGATTCTGCTTCAAATTATTAAATAAAAATTCACTACCTCCTAAAATGGAAGCTTTCATATATTATCTAAATATTCAAATTACCAATATTTATTTAACAAAAAGTGGATACAGAACACTCAAACAACAGTCCTATTAAGCTCATCAAATACTACAAAAAGAGAAACTTAATTGAATTCTTTTATTGTGTGGGGGAAGAAAGAAATTTTTTCAAATAGATGCACATAAAGCAGACACTTACAAAGGCAATTGGTAACGCGGAGTATCCTTCATCATATGTAAATACAATTTAACTTTTTAATCATAAAGATATGAGTTTTTTAGAACCACACACAAACTGAGATTAACAGATCCAGAGGACATTAAATAATCAACCAGTTATTTTGATGGCCATAACTTTCTTCCAAGGGAAAGAAATAAGTCACTGGAGGAAAGTATATCCCGAAGTTAGTAAGAAAAAATACAGAAAAACCTTCATCGATAAAAGCACTGACCAATTTCAAATGATCCTTAATGAGAATGAACTAAAACTGTATCCAATATTTCAGTTAAGTATACCAAGGAATTCAGATGATAATTTGGACAGTCATAAAATCAAGGGCATTCATGATCCAACTTAAATCATCTGACAGTAAACATGATACATAAAAGAACAATGTATGCTTAAAAGACTCACCTGGAACACATTCCTCTCACCAACTATCGCTCCATTCACAAAATTGGTGTTATCACGCGTGATATTTGCCTGAGCAAATGCCATTCGGTCAATGCCAGTGCCACTGAGTGTTGTTGGAGGTCCATCTGCACTAATTCCTCCACTTGGCAACACCCTTTGACCATTTGGAGAAATATGACTGCTTTCATCGCGTGTTGTTATCTCTTCCATGACAAGCCCATAAGTGAATTTGCTTTGACGAGTGAAATTCTGCGAGGCAAATAACGGTTATGTACTATCAAGTATAAAATGAATACCCTACTCAGAGTTGCTGAAAGACATAACAATAAGAGAAGCATTGCAGTCTTACCTCTGTAATATTGGCTTTCACACCCGCACGATCAACCCATATAGGGGGGACTTCGTCCAACCCTGGCCCGCCTGTGAAGACTGGACTCAGTTTCCTGCTGTTAAAGCAGTTTGCCCGGAAGGTGCGGTTGCGAGGATTATATACACCATCTAAATATGGATGCACATACTCAAGCTTAAAAGAAAGGTCATCCTGCAGAGAGAATTGCCACATTATTAGGCTACAACTTGCAAAGATAACACAGCAATTATGTAAATTAAGTATGCCAGATAATAAATGCCAATAACAATTACCTGAGGATTGAGGAAGTTGCTAGTAGTCACTGAACCAAGAATGGACCTGTTTAACCCTTTGAGGTTCCGATGCTCAAAGGAAACAGTTCCGCCGGGCTGAATTGAAGCCTGAAGAACATCATATAAAAGAAATAGCACTTAGTTAGAACAATAAAATTATGCCCTAATCCAAAATGTTTTACAGAAGTTAAAATTAACAGTTTTAACTTATATACCAGTGCAGGGCGACCTCCCCGTCCAGGTACAATACTCCATTCGGTACTGATTTCAGCCGACTTCTGTTCTAGTTCTTTGAGCTTTATCTCCACAATAATGCCTCCCTCATTTTTCTCGTCTGGCCGTGGATTAACTTCAATATTGGAAAACAAAGCTAGCGAGTTTATGTTCCTCAGAGCTTGTTTCCCTGCTTCTATGTTGAAAACACGCCCTTGTCGGAGCTGCAAACAGAATCCACATTTGGCAACCGAATAAGAACCAAAATGTCAAAAGCAAACCAATCAAATCACAAAAAAATAAATTCCAATATATCAAGTAAGTTACAAAGCAAAATTCAGCCAAGCTAAGTAGGCAATTAACAATGCAAAACCAAAAATTTATACAACTAATTGATAAATTTGAACCTATAACGTAAAGATTTATGCAAAAGAACCAACTATGCATCACCTGTTTGGGCAATTCTCGCCTCACGACTCCAAATTGGGTGTTCCCCTCGCACACATTGCCAAGCTTATCCTGGAACTGAATCACCAACTGGGTGATATCTCCTTCCACCACCTCACAAACAACCTCCTTCGTATTCAAATTCCCGAAATTCACAACCTGTGCGCAAGCATACCCCTCGTCATGATACCACTGCTGCCTATTAAGCTCCCGAATCTTCTGCAACAACCGTGCACTCACCGTCCCTTGTTCCCTCAACATCTGCAATACCTCCCTATGCACTGCCATGGGCAACAAACACGGCCTCGCTCTCTCAATTCTCCTCCTATAGTCCTTCTCTTGACTCCTGAAATACTCGATTCTCTCCTTCTCGGTCATATCAGGGTCCATTTCGATTGGCTTCGATTGCTGCATTAGACCCACATTGATACACCTAAACTTATCAGCCGATTGCCATGTACTCTCCGTGAACGATATCGTGACTCCAATCGTCCCGTCTGGGTTGGTCTTGCCTTCAAGATCGACTTTTTCGAACATCCCACAAGTGGCTAGGGTTTCAAGCTCTTTCTGCAGCTGGGTTTTGGTGTATATGCCGCCGGGACGAAGCGAGACCATCTCGAAGAAAGAGTCCTCGGTGCCGACGGTGGTCCAGCGGCGGCGATCGAAGAACAAGATCTCCGAGAGCTTGTATTTCTTGAACCCACTGAGCTTGTTTAGCTGGACCACAATGTTGGCAGGTAGTCCGTGAGAGTCCCATTCCTGAGACTGCGAGGCCGCCTCGTCGTCGTCCTTCGCGATTGCCGGCGGAGAGAATAATCTCCACCAGAAACCGCCGTCTCCACCACCGCCCCCGTCTCCTCCGCCGCCGGGACCGCCGGGACCGCCTCCGATGAAAGAAGGAGCGGAGGAGGCTAGGTGGAAGAGGATTCCGGTGGCGGCAGAGACTGCTAGGGCTTTGGTGAGGGTGAGGAGGGGTTTGGGAGGTGAGGATTTTAGGGGTTTAGGGTTTAGAGGGGAGGAGTGGGAGGAATGGTCACATTTGACGGTGTTGGAGGGGAGCCGGGGGGTGGCGGTGGTGGTGGCGGCTGTGGCGGGGGCTAATTTTCGGTGGGACGAAAGGGAAGGAGTGAGATTGAGAGTGAGCAGGTGGCCCGTTGCCGCCATTGACGATAAAGTGCGGAGGCTAAAGAGGAGAGAGTTTTTCCCTGTTTTATATGAGAAAGTATTTTCTGTTTTATTTATTACTCTTCTTAGTAAAATTGAGGTTTTTTTTTTTTTTTTTGGTTGTATCTATTGTGTATTTTGGGGACGTTACATTCATTATTTTCTTTGTCAACCAAACATGGGAATTGACATTTTGATGAAATGAACAATCCATTCCAATGAACCAAATACTACCTAAGGCCTTGTTGGTTTGTGGTATAACCCGTAGAAGTATAAGTAACACCACCTCCCCCATGGTATTACTTGTACAGGACCATGAGATTATATCCCTTCCCAATCCAATGGTCATAAACAATCTTCAAAATTGCTAGAGACCCCAAAAATTCTACCAAAAGTTTTACCAAATGTCTCACATGGGTGTGGGACATTGTGTGGGACCCACATTGTGTGGGTCCCACACCCATGTGAGACATTTGGTAAAACTTTTGGTAGAATTTTTGGGGTCTCTAGCATTTTTGCCAAATAAATTACTAAATTTTTTACCAAATCTTTTATATGGGTATGGGACCCACACACACATTGATTTGTGTGGATCCCACACCCATGTGAGAGGTTTGGTAGAAAATTTGGTAATTTGTTTGGGGTCCATAGCATTTTCCATATTAGGTGTCATGAAAAGTCTTTCATGAAAATAGTCATGAAAGATTTGTAACCTTTGAATTACACTTACAATAAAACACCACACACTAATTAAGGTAATCTAAGGGTCACAAATTTTTCATAATCATTTTCATGACAAAATTATATCTCTGACATTTCTCTTTTTTTTATCATAAAAATTCATCAAAAATGTTTCATAACTCGAAAAACTTCTCCCCGAATGGCCCGAAAGTTTCAGCAATTCAATTTTTTTTCCCTCCAGTTTGAAACGCAGAGAGGAAGAGCGAGAGGGAGAGCGAGAGCGAGAGAGAAAGAGAAAGAGAGGGGAAGAGGCCGTCGCCGATCCGTCACCTCCGCCGATCGCTGCGCCTCCGCCTCCGCTGATCGCCACGCCTCCGCCTCCGTCGCCGATCGCTGCGCCTCCGCCCCAGCCCGATTTTGTTTGTTTTTTTTTTTTTTTTCTAGATCTGAAATGGTTGATGATGTTAATGATGAAGATGAATGGTTGATGGCCTCTCCAATTCTTCTTCTTCCTTCTTTTCTTCTTCTTCTTCTTTCTTTTCTTCTTCTTCTTCTTCTTTTCTGAGCCAAACATTCAAAACTCACATTTTTCAAATTCGGGGAATTCGGAGAGACTCTTTTCGAGCTACAAATCAGAGCTCAAAATTCAGTACCTTGGGCACGAAGGTATATCATAATGAATGAAATTTATGTAACTACATAAAATATTGTTTTATTATACATTGATGATGTCACAGCTTCATGGGCCCTTTTTTTTTTTTTAAACAGTGAAATTTCTATTACTTGGATTTAGGTTGGGTTTGAAGTGATGTGACTTAAATGAGATAGTCACTTTTTGACTTTTTTAGTACACGGCAAACAAGGCCTAAATGGAACTTACAAAAGAATCCATCAAACAAAAAACTTACACCAAATAAAATAAAAATCAACGAATGAAACACTAAAGAGAAACTATGAAATATCAAGACTCAAAACTCGTACTGCAAAGCAAACGTTGATCATAAAAATTCAGTAATAGAACAAGTCTAGGATAAAAGCATAGATTACAACTATGGACAGGGTGAGCTTTATTGAAACAAACAAATAAGATAATTTACTTACAGAATTTACTTACCGAAACAACTTAAGAACAAGAATGATCAAGTCGAGTGTGTGACACTTTGTTGTTAAGACAGGTTCGCCCTGCTCATGTGTTTACAAAATAATGGCGTCTATTTCCCATGATACAATGATCTTACACAGAATGTATTAGCACTAAAAACAATTTGTTTCGGCAAACCAGAACCTGTGTTCTATACTCTTAGAAATGTCTCTAAAAACTAGTATGAAGAATAATGCAAAAAGAGAGCACAAACGAGAAGAGAATTGAATTTTTTGGATGAACAAATCTGTTGGAATGATTCTGTATTTACAGGCATAATTGGTAACTGTTGGAAGAGCCAAACAGGTACAAGTTCAAATTGAATAGGTTCGAAATTTTGAAATGAACCAGTGCAAATTTGAATCTGTCTGGTGCAAACAGTTTTGAATCTGTTTGAATCTGCTGGGCAGTTTTAAATCTGTTTAAAACAGTTCGAAAAACTGTTTGAATTTGCTTCCGACTGGTTCAGAATAGACACACTGGTTGGGAGCCAATAATTTGAATTCAAATTGTTTTAGAGCAAAATTCCAATTTTCTTGCAAGAATTTTGAAAAAAATTCAAATAAATTTTGTTCAAAAAATTAATGTTAAAACTTGACCCACAACCCGCACCCGCGCACGGCCTGGCTGGACGACGGTGGCGCGTATGTGGTGGTTTGAGCCAAAACCCACTTTGTCCATAAGCCCTCCTTTCTACAAACTTGGGGTGCCCCTTGGGGCCCAACCCAAGTATGTCCGCTTAGAGTTTATATACCCATATAAGCTCTCTTAAAGTTTTAATGTGGGACAACCATATTAAGGAAACCCACATTTGACTATTCAATTTCCCATTCTACAAACCCGAAAACGACGTCAACTTCTCATTCATTCATAAATGGTTTTGACGAACCGTCTTCACCGTGTGATTTGCCATGCGGCAATGAGCATGTCACCTTTTCGGACCCATCCTAAAAGACGTGTGGACCCCACTCAAAGTTGGCCCAAAATAAGCCTATAAAAACCATAATTTCTAACAATCTCCCACATGAATAGAATTTGACAGAGAGAAAATGCAACAACATGATCTTATTACAAAGAGTACAGAAATTGAAGATATTCTGCAAAGGATAGGCAGCTTTTGGCTTTGAACCTTCCCTTGTGAGATACTGTCAGATTTACTAGCTAACCAGTGAACATGATGTCTTGAACTGTTCATCCATTTGTGTAAACCAAGACAATAGAACGTACACAGTATATTACCAGACACAATTTAGTTCTCACTATTGTGTTCATTTTGGCCTTGAACAACCTGGTCTTTCATGAGTGCTTTAGAGAATTGTAGCCCTTCACAAATCTCATAGAACCAGCCCAATTCACACTCATATAGGCGATTCTTATGAAGAGTATCCTGCCATATGCAAACACCCCATTTTTGACCGCCCTTATGACTTGGGCGTCACCGCTTGTGTACTCAATGATGAATTTGTACATGCTTGTCAAGTACTCGAAGTCCTCAGCAAAATGTCACCGCTTTGAGCCTTCAAACCCTATACACCTTTTGCCTTGTTTGGGACCAAAACCACAGTTTTTCAAGCCAAAAAACCCTAGGACATGCAGGCCCACTAGTGTAGGCTGTCGGCCAACATTAGTGGCCTACCAGCCACTTGTGTGTTTTTACAGATATTTCTGCCAGCTGTGCCAACTGTTTCCACACGTGCATGCATCTACCCACACGTGTATGTACGGATATTTCTGAGGGAGTTTCATGTTTTTCTATAAATAGAAGATCACCCTTTCCATTTTTTAGAGTTGGAAATTTTAGAGCAAAAATATTTCTCTCTCTCGACAATTCCCACTCTCTTTTGCAAATTCTTAAGTTTTTGCCTATACACTCTAAACCAAACCTTGTGATATTTGAGCTGAGATACTGTTGAGCTTACTTTGAGCTCTTAAGGGTATGTAAGTGTTGATTTGTCATTTAGAAAGGGTTCTCCTCTTTAAGAGGTATAAGTCTTGGCTTATTTCTTTGATTTCTTTGCTATTTTTCCTACTATTTTTGGACTATTTTTGGGCTGTTTATACTCTGTATTTTTGGGCTGCAACTTATGGTTTAAAGCCATTAAGGGTGGGGGGATGGATCACCCTTCTTTGCACCTCACTTCTCAAGCCTTTGCCCTTGTGTTTCCCACCTGCTTGTCAACTTTTTTTGAACTTTTTAATACTGAATCTCAGAGGTTTTTCATAGGCTAAAACCATGTTTTAGAGTCCCAAAAATGAAGGGGGTAGCCTCCCCTCCTTGTGTTTGCTTACTAGCTTAACTTGCTCCGTGTTATAGCTTATTATTTTAGCTATTTTTGTCTTAATTCCAGTATGTTTTAGGACTGTTTTTAGTTGTTCATTTCATTTGAGCTTTGTATAACATGCTTGTAGTGTAATAGTCGTCATAGGCTTGGTGGTTTAGGCCTTAGCCACTAACCTATTGGAGTTGATAGTGTTTATTTCTTACTTTCCATACTTGTGTTCATATTTAATCATCTCCGCAACCTTCTTCCTTTCTTGGCTTTTTCTTTGCTTTGAAAGTTGTCTCAAACTACTTGCTTGTTTAAGCTTAAGATTGAGGTTGTTGTGCTTAATAGTTTAATCCCTTTGGGGGTTCATTACCAACGGCATGAGACTTCTCTTATGCCTGAAACAACACTTGGTTTAGTACTCCTTTCCATTAGAGGACTTAAAGACCACTATTGGACTTAATGAATTAAGGAATGGTTGGTAATTAAAATGAAGTAATAAAATTAGGACTAAAAATGATGCAAGATAATAAGCAATTTGGTGTTCAATCGGACGTTAATTGAACACATGAAACTTAAGGCATTTCATACTTGCTAGTGATGAAATGGTTCAAGTTTCCAAGGTCAACTACTTCCCTTGATCAATCAATCATAGAGAGGAGGTTTGAGAGTCTTTTATTGTGCATTGATTGAAATTGTACACCTTGGCTCATGCAATGAAATTGCATTGATTGATGGCTTGTGAATTGAGTTTGTTACTCATTTGAGCTGTTTGATGATAAGAAGGGGTAAGGTATACAAACATCCATTGAGGATGCTCTATTTGTGCTCTGTTGCAGCAGGAGGAAGCAAGCGTTAGTAGTTGGCAGGCCACTTCTTTTAGACGGCAGGCTACCATTTGTGGCCGGCCGACCACTACTTCTAGCCTGTCGGCCACTTTTGTCAAACTG